ATATACCATAATTGCCATAGTCTATAGTAGAGGTCTCAGGCTGCGAAGGGCCGAGCAGGAAGTCGCAGGAATCCCTCCCTCCAAAACCCTAATCTTAGGGGTACTCTGTTTTTTTTTTGGTTATTATAATCCCTAAGAAGGGGTACTTAGATTTTTTTAAATTTTTGGTTATGATAATCCCTAAGAAACAGCTAAAACTATAATTTTTGCTAGGGTTCTAAGTTCAGTATAGGAATCTTCCCTTTGGTGGATAGGGAATGGAAGAATGGTAGCAATAGTAGTTATAATTGTACCCCATTCCTGCAGTCCCTACTAACCCAAGGTAAGTAATTTCAGCACCTAAAAGGATGAGGGACAGATCGTTCAAACTCCTGAGCCCCTAGGCCGCAAAGGTCCCACCGTGTCGGCTTGAGGTTTAGGGTTCAGGGTACGATAGGGGCCATAATAAATACCCATACAGGGAACTCCAGAAAGTTGGAATATGGATTAATGGTAGGATCCCCTATAATTTACCTCAAAGGGGTTACGATAATGATATTCCAACTTTCTGGCTTCTACTGTACTATGTTGGGGGTTGCTTATGTAAATTATCGTATAACCGGCCCCAGAACCCTGTTCTAATGATCAAGGCCCCTATATTATGTCGAGCCAGCTACCGTTGTGATGATGGGGTGTTACATTCTTGAACACCTTGCAGTTTTTGCTGCTGCTGCTGCTGCTGCTGCTGTGACTATCCTGATGCACGATAGGTCAGCATAGCAGCTTGAGCCCTAAACCCTAAGCCCTAACCGATGGCATCTTACACCCGCCAGGATGTGGGTCGTCTTGAACTCCAGAAGCACCAGCTGGAACCTCATCGAGCGGGTGATCTTTCCAGCGCCGACTCCCTCGTGACTTGTGCATGACATGGTGGATGGGCTCCTCAAGCTTCAACCTTAACCCTAATCGTTAGGGTACATGGATGAGGCTTGCAGCTTTGTCTAGGCAAGCAGGGTTCAGGGTTGCGAGAATTGCTCCGGGGTTGAGGATTTGAAGGCATGCTTGTGGCTGCCAGGTACACAGTCAACAGCTTCCCTGGCGAATTGATTCTCGTTCCACGCGAAGATGGTGCAAAGGCTCTGATCAGCTGAACCTGATCTATTTCTGTTCCTTTGATACAGCCTCCTAGCACTTGATATAGTCGTAGCCGCCATTGGGAGTATCGACAGAACGTCGCCATTTTTGCCATTCCTTCTGAGCATCATCACCATCATCACCATCATCATCATCATCACCAAGATCATCATCAGCATCACACTCATCATGACCATCATCCCCATCATCACCACCATGGGCGTCGTCGTCGCGACCATGACGACGACTATCACCGCAACCATCATCTGCGTTAGTATTGTCATGGTTTGAAGAAGACTCTGGCATCTGTAACCTGGCCAAGCTGATGACGAGCAAGATGCGTGAGGGTGCTGCTAATGGCGATAGTGTCGCTGGTGATGGTACTAGTACATAGTGGTTATGGTGGTGGTGGTGCTGGTATGTATGGTGGTCCCCTCCCTCCCCTCCTCCTCCTCCTCCTCCTCCTCCTCCTCCTCCGCCCCTGCTCCTCACTAGTTTAGTCCTCATCTCCTGCATGTTTTTTCATTTGTCACCTGCTCCTTCTTCGCTCCTTCTGTTCATCATCATCATCACCATCATCAGCATCAGCATCAGCATCAACTCCCTTATCTGCATTATCGTAGGTATAGGTAGTTTGATGCGAGGAGGTATCCATCCACCGCTGTGTAGCAGGTTGTCTTCCTTCGACACGTTTCGACAGCAGCCTGCTGACTAACTCTGTAACCGCACGGCCGCAGGCCCTGCAACCCCCCACTCTACACCCCAAGCGCCAAACCCCCCACCTCAGGGCCCCTCACCTTATGGTGACAAGAGGAGAACCCTTAGAGTAACATGGTAGCACCCTTCTAGAATCCTGAAGCCCTATTTGGAGGTTCATGGGTAGTTATAAGTAGGTTTATCAGAAGGGTAACTATACTTGTAACCCACATTGGGGGACTTATAACCCCACTTATGACTACCCATGAACCTCCAAGTATGTCCAGTCAGCTGACAGGTGCCTTGCTTGTTTCTGCCGTTTCAGCATGCCCGGCAGGGCACCCAGACAGCTATGTCGAGTAGGGGGTAACCAGAACTTTAGGGTCCAGGGGGTGAGGAATCTAGGGTGCAAGGGTTCAGGAGCTTAGGGTCTATCCATGAATGCTTGCTGTTTAGGGTTTCGATATGTTGTCCAGGATTTAAGCGTTAGGGGTTCAGGGTTTTCATACTTTAGCGATCCGAATAATTTGTAATCGCGCCCACCTATTCCAAGTATTAAGGGCCCTATATAGATTTGCGAGGACCCTAAACCCTAAAAGCATCTTAAACAGACCCTAAAACCCTAAACCCCAAACCCTAAAAACCCCAAACCCTAAAAACCCCAAACCCTAAAAACCCTAAAACCCTAAAACCCTAAAACCCTAAACCCTAAAAACCCGAAACTTTAATACTACGGGGTTCAGGATATCTGAAGTCTTGTCGGTGAACCCCGAAGATGACAAAACAAAGTGGGCTGCTCGACAAATGCCTACTTGGAGGTTCATTGGTAGTTATAAGTAGGGCTCCTTTAAGGGTGCCTGTAAAGTGATCTGTACGCATTGTATAAGGGTATAGGGTTTAGGGCTTACTTGGAGATTAGTTATAAAGTAGGGTTCTAAGTAGGGTAACTATACTTATAACCCTTATTAGGGGACTTATAACCCCACTTATAACTACCCATGAACCTCCAAGCACCCTCAACCCTAACCCAGAGACTCCAATATCCCTTAATGAAGAAATATACCTTATGACTAAAGCAGAATCCTTAGACTGATTTAAGGTATATGCGTTAGTTAAGGGATACTGGAGTCTCTGGGAACTCTCAACCTGAGGCGGGCAATAGACCCGCAAAGCTTTTGCAGCTGAGAAAAGGCCACTGCGTTGTAGCAAAAACTAACCAGTAAACCCTGTACCCTAAACCTGAAACCCTAAACCCTAAACTCTATGCAGGTTCCTCTTCATCTACTTCCATGCTAATGCGGAGGACATCGCTCGACTCCCTTAAAGCTGGCTTAGAGCTCAGGGTTTGGAGTTTAGGGTTTGCTCGGGATTTGGGATTTAGGATTTATGTAGGGTTTAGAGCACAGGATTTAGAGTTTCGGGCTTGCTTCGGGATCTCCTATTTCGGATTTAGAGTTGAGGGTTTAGGATTTACAGAAATTGTATAGGGTTTGGGTCCGGCGTTTTGAGCGAAAGTTTTGATGTCTGGTTTTTGGCTTGGAGTTGGGCTGGGATCTCTTCCCGCACAAGTAATGGAAATTCGAAACTAATGAACATGCAATCCGAATCGAAATTACACAATTTCTATTTATCCTGCTCTTGCGGGTATAAGGTTTAGGGTTTACGGTTCGCTTTGGGGGTTTAGGGTGATTTGTGCCGCTTGATCCCTATTCGCAGCTACGACGTTGAGGATCTTGGCCTCAGCCACACCTTCTGCACGATCTTGAGAGATCTCTTCCAAGTTCATGTTCTCGCCGTCGAGCGAAACTTGCATGTGTTGTCATGTGGCAGGCGCCGGATCTGATCCAGATTTTTTTCGTGCCAGGTATCCTGGATATGGCATTTGCCCTGGTACATGCGATGAGGCCTGTCGGCAAACCCCCACATGCATTTTTTCCCTGAGTTTAAGCCCCGGTACGCTTATAGTAGACCCTTGTAGCAACCCTTGTTGGTCACTTGCAGCCCTTAAAGATCCCTAAGCCCTAAACCCAAAGTTGTCCTCTGCCTTTGGCTGCGACATGTCTTTGTGACGACCGGGGACAGGCTGGCGTGATGGCAAACGCATCTGCCGCCATGGAGCAGCTTGTCGCAAGACATGGTGGAGGGTTTAGGGTGTTAATCGAATTCTTGATCTTGGTTTATGAATTTATTTGCTACTGTGGTTATACTTATTACTGCAGATCTAAGAAGAACTGGTTTCAGTATAGTTATAGTTGTATGCATTCATCGTAAGACTGCAGATATCAAAGTGAGAGAGGCGATCGTAGCAATATAGAACTGAAAGATAGCAGTAACGGCTCGACGTGTTCGGCCATTGCCTTCAGCTGTGCAATCCTTGTGCTTACAGCGCTTTATCATTCCCGGGTTGTCGTCGTGAGAACCAGAAACTCCAACCTCCCGTATTGAAGAACATTCGTAAACCAGAATGACAGCTAAGAACCCAACCCCTTAAACCTTCACCCTGAAACCGGTAATACTGTAAGCCCTCGAATACATCGTATGGGTAACACAGCCGAAAGCTCCAGCTAACCGTGCTGAAAACATCGTAAAGCAGCCCTACACCTTGGCCCGAAGCCTTACAAATCCGTCGCACAGGTTCGCCATTCACACGCTGAAGTGGCCCAGGGACGGCTGAGAGCTCAGCTGTTTGTCCTTTCAGTTTCCTGGTCTGGCCTTTCCATGCCTTCTCCGTTTAGGCTTAAGGCTTAACGGTTTAGGGTTTGGGGTTTTCAGGCCCATGTGATCCCAACTACCATTTGATTTTTCAATGAGCCGGGGAGAGTGTGGGCGTCTGACAGTCTGCTTCCTCATTGAGAGATGTGAAGCTGCATCAGATCGCAGAGGATCGAGTAGCTCATGTCACCTCAACAGACATGTACGATTGGCATTGGGAGTACTCTTAAGATTGCCGTTGCCACGGCACGTTGTTGTTATTGTTGCTATGATCATGACGATGGTTGTGATTATCATTATCTCAATGGCAGGTTGCTGTCGTCACCACAGTCCGTGTCCTTTTTGCTACTACTCTCTCTATCAATACTCATGGTTCTCGTTGCTGTTGGCATCATTGTTCCTGGATCTCAGTCGGCCATGATGTTGGGGTGACAGATAGGGTTCGGCTAGCCAGACATACAGGCTTACTTGCGACATTCATGAGTGCTCCTCTTGGTGAGCCGAGCTGGCTAAGCTGCTTCCGGAGCAAGGCCGCACCTTCTGAAGTGGCACGGGCTTGGCTCCACGACTTGAGCCAGACTGAACGGGAGGAGGCCAAAGCAGATGCGCCGAGCGCACGCGCGAAGCTCCGGCAAGCCCTCACAGCATCCGGCTGCGCGGAGATTCGGGAGGATGCTGCCAACGGTTACTGGGCTTCTGTTACAGGATTCATTTTAAGTTACCATAGTAAGGAAACCACTTGATTCATTATAGATCCTTATCATGGTATCGTAAATTAAGTTCCTTGACAAGAGCCCAGGCTACATCTACACCGCCGCAGTCTTAAGAGCAGCCGACGAGGTGCTAGGCATCCCTCCACCGAAGGCACAGGGCAACCTGCGCGGTGCAGCCTCTGGGGATGGGGCGCCGGTGGGGTCGCGATGTGTGCCTGGGACCTGGACCTAGAGTAGGCCCTTATTCCCTTTTGTTTTGTAGGGTTCAGGTTCCCTTAGAAGCTCCTTTAAAGCAAAAAAAGGTCACCCCTTTTTTCCTGGGTCACTCTTGGGTCTAGGTGCTTTCCGGAGATGGAAACAAACCTGGTAGCCTCGGCCTGTGGTGGAGCGACTTTCAGACGGCCTGTCGACCCTTCGAGCTCCTCGAGCGTGGCATCACACACAGGCTGAATATGGCAGCTGAGGTGGTCAAAAAGTTTCCGGCCGATATCGAGGGCATAGAGACTCTTCATGTCCCTATGCGAGATGCCTTCAGCAACGAGCGTGAGGTGAACGAGGGGAGCGTTGACGAATGGGCAGAGCAGTTGGGGCAGGCTTTAGAAATCTTACGAAGACTTCGCGACGCTGGTGCTAGCGTAAACGTGAGCTGTCAGATGGGCAAGAACCGGAGCGCAGCTGCGGTGTTGGTCTGGATGTGCAGTGAGGCTGGTTGGAAGCTGCTTCACAGCTCTTAGGAATTATGCGTTTTTATACTACAATAAAACTTAATGTGATGAATAAAAATGATACTTATAGAACTGAAAGGGATTCACGAGAACACGATTTTTGTCGTGGTTCTAAGGGCGGCTAAGGCTGGAGGAGGCTGTTGAGCATTTACGAGGCATCACGGCGCTGGCCTGTGGGAATCCTTACCTCATCGAAGCAGTGGCGAAGTTTCTGAATGTCGATGCAGACGTTCCGCTGAACCCAGCCGGGGACCAAGGCCAGGGAAGCCCAAAGTATCGGGGATGCCAGCTTACTAGTAGTCTGCTGCTCATCGCTGTTGCTATGATTATGATTATGACTAGTACTATCACTAGGACTAGTGCTGCGAGTACCAGTGCGCGGAGAGGCCAGCTGACTGATGGTCTTCTTCTCAGTGTTACTATGATGATGACTTGTGATTGTTACTGTTATTGTTTACTGTTAGTAGTACTAGCACAAGAAGTACTAGTACTGTTCCTTACCTACACCTATTATTATTCCTATTCCGAGTATTGCTGTTACTACTACTATACTACTACTACTACTACTACTACTACTACTACTACCACTACTACTACCACTACCACTACCACTACCACTAGGCACCATATACCTCGTTTGCCGCGCACATGGTGCGGCAAACTGGTGTTCGCTGATGTGCTTCATTGCAACATGCAGAGTGCGGTTATGCTAAGACGGTGTTTTCGCTTGGGCTTTAAGCACAGTCTGGAGCTTTGCAGGAAAGGGAAAGTGTTAGCAAGCAAGTTTGAATGTCTGACTTGCATTTGAACACAGGACGATTTGGGCGTCACTTTCTTAATGTTTTGTGTTCTGAAATCGGGAACAACATCGAGTTTTTGCTGTTCCGTTCTCTTTCCAACCCGGCTTTTTACGGCGGCAGCGGTCAGGACGTGTCTTGGAACGAAATGTTCGGCGCAAGCGTGTCCCCCACATCAAGCTGATTTTGGCTACTGTATTTCAAGTGCGTTTTTCGTGGCAAGCGCAGGACTTACGAATGTGGGTGGTTTCTAAGACCTCCAACAACTAATCTTTTCTATGAGATGAGATACTGATGATAGTATGGGAGATACTGATGACAGTATGGGATCTTCATCATCTTCGCCGTCACCTTATCGTTGCGTACTATGTTTTGCAAAAGGCACAGGTGCTGTAAATACCAGTTGGATATGCTCGCACCAGGCATGACCGCTTGTGACTGTGCGCCTTATGCCAGAACCCCAAACGTCCTTCTGCAGCATAAAGTGGCGAAACCCTGTAAACACCAGTGGTTCGGGCACGCTCGCACAAGGCATGAACGCTTGTGACAGCGCGCCAATCAACATGGAAGCTTATATGCCACTGACCGATGTAAACATGCCGTCATTACCCCCCTCACCCCACCCCGGAAGTGCGGCAAACGAGGGTGGATCCCACTACTACTACTACTACTACTACTACTACTACTACTACTACTACTACTGCTACTACTACTACTACTACTACTACTACTACTACTACTCCTACTGCTACTACTACTACTACTACTACTACTACTACTACTACTGCTACTACTACTACTACTACTACTACTACTACTACTACCGCTGCTACTGCTACTAGTATCGCTTTATTTTTGGTATTCTTTTCATCTTGTCATTGTTATTGTTATTGCTGTTTCTGCTACTATTTCTGTTACTATTACTACTACTGTTAGGCCTACTGTACATTACTATTACTCGTGAAGCCCGGAAGTTTCTTAAAGCAGTCGTATGGAGGAGACGTGCAGCTTTCAGAGATTCCTATCCACCTTGGATCTACCCGAACCCCAAAGTTTAGAAAGCCTGAATCAACCCCCAACCCTAAACCCTGAACCCTACATGACCCTAAACCCTAAACCCATCTAGACCCCCAACCCCGACCCCTCAAGCCTAAACGTCCCTAACTCCAAGTCCAGTGGGCCGTAAACCGTAAATCAAAACATCCAAACCCCAAACCCTAGCCCTGAAACCCTAAACCCTACACCCTAAACTCTATACCAAAAAAAAACCCTATACCCTCGACCCTTATCCCTCAACAATAACCGCCATAAAGCTGGGAGAGGCCACTGGATCTGCATCTCTCCGCCGGGCACGCCCACAGCCGCTGAGGCTCCCGTGGTGGATCTGGCTGAGGTGGGAGTTGTGGTTTAGGAATGAGGGTGCAGGATTAGGACTCAGGGCTTAGGATTTAGGGTTTAGGGTCTGGGATTCGGGTGTAGGGTTTAGGATTCTCTTAGGATTCAGGTTTTGGGATTCTTGCGAAATGTGGCTGAGGTGGCTGCTAAGGCTGAAGCACAGCTGGCAGGCGCCGTGCAGACCGAGGACGCGACTACATGGGGGCAGGATTGTCGCATGTCCTGCTGGGAATACGAGGTACCCACTAACATTATTTCATAAACCGTTGGCATGCTGTATGTTTTAGTTCTCTGAGTGTGCACATGTCTGTGGTAGATGTATCCACTGTATCCATGCATGCAGCGATACTCTCCATTTGCAACGAAGAGTCCTTGTGGCTTTTGGATTGCGGCGATTAGCGGTTTGCTCCTAAATCCAAAACCCGAGATTGCCTAAACCCTAAACCCTAAACCGTGGTCGAGGGTCGGGAGCAAATGCATGCGCAGCACTGAGCGCCCAGCAGGATCTTCTGAGACCGCAACGCAGTTAGAGTTTAGGGTTGAGGGTACCATAACATGCGTAACCAAGCTCACGCCACGGAGATGAAACAGCTAAGCAGCTAGGAAGTGCGTCCTCAGAAGCCCTCTTTCATAAATCAAATTGGCAGTGCTGAGAACAAACCGCAATGCGTGAGCTGCCACGAAAACATCAGCAGGGCTCACGAAAACAAGCCGCAGACAGGAAGAGTTTGATGCGCAGGATTGTCTACACATGTTGACAGGTATGGCAACAAGTCTTCCCACATGGCCCGTCGAGCTACAACCGTTCACCAAACGTGGTCTCGGTCCGTCGAAAGTGAGAAGCTTCCACGAGCGACGTTCTTCAAGACATGGCTTTTTGAGCAGTTGGTCCAGCGCTGCAGGGTTCTCTTCGAGTTTGTGCTGCATGTTGACAAACCGCAAAATGGATGCTGGTAAGCCGGCTGTCTGCAAGCTTTGTGCACTGCCAGCATCTGTTGAAATCTATGCAACACTTGCATCTCCCATTCCCGCCGCTGATGACGACGACGAGGATGATGATATGAAGAAGAGAAAAAACGACGCTGTGCTTCAGACCTTGAACCCCTGAATCCCAGTACCCGTCATTCCAACCTGGGAGCTGGGGGACGAGCACGAGGACACGGATGAGGACGAGGGAGGACGACGACGAACGACGACCACAACGACGACTACTGCGACTGCGACGGCGATTCGGACTGACTGCGAAGACGACTACCTAACACTGCCACCATCGCGACCACCGCGAGTATCCATGGGACGATTACTTTTCGTACAGCCATAACAGCCATTGTGCCTTTTGCCAAGCTGTTGAATGTTCGTCCTTTCGAGGAGGAGGCAGCAGGAGAAGATCTCTCTGACCTTTTCGCCGGCATTTGAGTCTCCATAGTCGAAGCGGTTCTAGCAGAAGGCAGGGTTATTCTATGTTCTTCTATATTGTCTATGGTATAATATTCGGTCATACTAGATTTTCTGATATACCTGTTTATGTTATGTTTTATTATATGGTACTATGTATAGTATGTCATATGATACTCTAGCATATATACATATGTATATATATATATATATATACACACATATTCGAGTCTCACACATTGCTCTTGTCTCCAGAGGATGCCGGCAGGGTACCCGGAGACACCACTATCCCTTGATGAAGGAGTATACTTTAAACCATATGGGAGACCCTACTGTAATTGAAGGCATATTCCTCAATTCCCACATAGAGCCCTTATAGATCCCTTTAAGCAACCCTTTAAGGAACCCTTAGGGGTACATTCCTCAATAAAAGCCCTAAACCCTGAACCCTAAAAAGGTGGAGTCTCTGGGTAACGCCTTGAGGCTGTGTACAGCTCAGGAAGTTCGAACAGACCGGGCATCATCATGCCAAACTGTGTGAGGGTTTAGGGTTTTGGAGTTTTAGGGTTTGGGGTTTCGGGCTTTGGGTGTATAGGGTTTAGGGTTTAGGTAGACAAAGGCTTTCTTGAACTTCGGACTCGAGTTTCGATATGTGCTGGTTATTGCTTCCCAATTGCTGGTGTTAGTCGCAGCTCATGATTGATGACTCTCTTGGTGCTTCCAGTGCGTTTGCCCGTAGAAGTGCGGTGTTGCAGTCGTTGAGTCTTCCTGTCCACTGCACCTCGAATGTCGCCTAAACCACATTCTTACAACCCTGAAACCCTGAACCCTAAACCCTAAACCCTGAAACCCTAAACCCCAGAGCCTCAAGCCTCAAAGAGCCCGAGGCATCACTCAGATCCTTCAACCCTAAACGCTCAAGTCCAAAACACCCCAAAGGCATCACCCCAAACCCTAAAGCCCACCAAAGAGCCCGCTCCCACTACAATGTAGGGTATATTCGTTAATCAAGGGATTCATTCAGATTCATGAAGGGATTCGATAATCAAGGGATTCATTAATGAAGGGGTATTGATATTGGAGTCTCTGGGCAAGGCATCACCCTAAACCTCAAACCCTAAACCCAAAGCCCCTACACCCCTAAACCCAGGTTTAGGCCTTAGGGTTTAGGATGTGTAGGATCCCAGAAAGAGCACAAGGCATCAAGCTCTTTGGTCGGAGCTTGGGAACCGGACCCACAATGGCCTTGGCGGCGAGGCCAGATCATGCAAGCGCCTCCAGAGCTCCAGGGTCCCAGAGACTCCAATATCCCTTAATTAGGGAATATACCCTGAATCATACAAGGGATCCTACCATAATTTAAGGTATATTCCTTAATTAAGGGATATTGGAGTCTCTGGGGTGTAGGGCTTTTGGTTTAGGGCTCCAGGGTGTAGGGCTTTGGGTTGAGGGCTCAGGGGGTTTGGGGTTTAGGGCTCAGAGTGTGGGGGTGTGGGGCTTTGGGGTTTAGGGCTCGGGATCCCTTGGGTCAGCAAGCAAATTTGGGGTTCAACATGCACAGCTCGGCATCTCGAAAACCAAACCTTGCATGTCGAACGCCATAGTCCCTTAGGGCTCAAGGTGTAGGGTTTAGGGTTTAGGGTTGGGTTCTTACTAAGTACCAGTTTTAGTCGAATTGCTTTCATGCACCTGTAAAGCTTTAGTCTAACAGCACAAAATAGGGGCCCTTCGTACTTACCCAATAATTTTTCTTGAGGGTTCCTTGACTTCCTTGTTACAAGAGAAGTCCGATGTGCCCCGAAACCCTGTTCATGAGTCCCCTAATGGCAGCTCAGGGTCCAGAGCCGTTTGGGGCCGTCGGGGGTTTAGGTGTTTGGAAGTTTTTTGGGTTGATTTATTTTGGAGCTCAAGGTCTGCAGCAAGTTTAGGGTGTAGGGTCGTCATCATCACAATTAGGAGCCCAGGGTAGGGTGACCATGCAAGGCCATTGCAAGGGCGCTTGAATCGCGACACTTCTATGCTCTACATCTGGCGATGTCCGAATGGGGGGGGGTGGTACCTTGTTCAGGGGCCCTTGTAATGAGGATCCGATTGCTTAGGGTTCTAGCTAATGTCTGAAACTCCCATCTCTTGGTACAGCTATTGCTCTGAGACTTGGGACGTATCCTTGCCCAGAGACTCCAATATCCCTTAATTAAGGAATATACCTTAAATTATGGTAGGATCCCTTATATGATTTAGGGTATATTCCCTAATTAAGGGATATTGGAGTCTCTGGGTGTTTGCAGGCACGACATCGCTGGAGTCATCCTCATCAGCCCCTTCACAAGCATCAAGGACCTGTTTCATGGGCAGGCCGGTGCAATATGCAACTTTCCGAAAATCAGGGGTAGCTTCTTTTGGAGTCCTTATAATAAGGATCCTACTATTTAGGGTCTTTGATTAGGGTCCCCTATCGGAAAGTCCCATAGCTGCAAGAGCGAAGCATCCCAAGCCCCATGGGTTGAGGTGAGGGTGCCGTATGCGGTTCAGGGTTTAGGGTAATGTAGGGGCTTAATAGTTACCTATTACCATTTTGGGGGTTCCTTATTCTAGGCATACTTGGAGGTTCATGGGAATTATAAGCAGGGTTATAAGTAGGGTAACTATACTTTTAACCCATATTAGGGGACTTCTAACCCCACTTATAGCTACCCATGGACCTCCAAGTATAGTATAATATACCCCCCAAAACCCTATTCTAATTCTTAAACAACTCAGACATGCTCACTTGCAAGTGTGTGCTTATTCCAATTATCAAGGCCCCTATATTATTGTGCCCTACTCTAGATCCCTTATGGACCCCTTGAAGGAACCCTTTATATAAAGGGACCTTATTCTACTTATTAAGGCACCTTTTTTTCTAGGGTTTAGGGTTGGGTTCTGGAGAGGAACAGCCTGTCAGGGTTTAGGGTTTAGGGTCTGGGGTCTAGGTTTAGGGTTTAGCCGAATTACCTGAACTTCCACCTTAAGTCGCGAACCCATGCGCCCCCAAAAGCCCAAGGCCACTGAAGCCCAAACCCCGAAACCCTCAAAACACGAATTTTAGAAGCCCGAAGCAAGAGAGTTGTCAAGGGGCCGCAGGATCTTGATACGGTGATACCGTGAAAACCCTTAAAGGAAACCACCTTCAAGGGTTCAACCCAACCTAAACCCTAAAGCCTAAACCCTAAACCCCCAAATGCACCGGACCGAAATAGGTAGGCTTTCTTGCCGACATGGTCGAGAATCGCTTCTGCAATATCGACCTGGCACCAAGGCGCAGCAAGTGAAGTTTTGGGTATAGGGTTTTCACGGAGGCTTCACATAGTAATACGGTATATCGGAAAGGTGTATTCCACAACGGTTTCGTGGGATATGGAAGTCTACGGTTCCAGGCACGGAAAAGGAGGCTTTAGCCACAGAACATCCAGCAGCACTACAACTGAACCCAACTCCCCAATTCCGTAAGTGTGATCTGAAGGGAACCCTCAGGCAAAACAGCCCTTTGGGGTTTACCGTTTGGGTTCAGGGTTTCGGGGTTTGGTTTAGGGTTTAGGGTTTTCGGCTTTAGGGTGAAGGGTTAATGCAGACTGTCACAGGATCTCCAGCCCTACTCTCATCATCCACGGCATGCAGGACGAGGGCCAGACTCCGAAGCCCCATCTGGGAGTTTCCGAAAATTAGGGGGTACCTTATTTTGGGGTCCTTATAATAAGGATCCTACTATTTAGGCTACTATATTAGGGTCCCCTATTTTCGGAAACTCCCACGTGGCTGAGGGTTTAAAGTTTTGGGCTGGCGGTTAGCATCTGTCAATTCAAGGTTTGGTTTTCGGCAAGCTTTACAGGCAGAAAGCCTGATCATTACTACTACTCCTCCTACTACTACTACTACTACTACTACTACTACTACTACTACTACTACTACTACTACTACTACTCCTGCTACTACTACTACTACTACTACTACTACTACTACTACTACTACTACTACTACTACTACTACCGCTGCTACTTCTACTAACTGGGGGGCTACTGCTACTACTGCTGCTACTACTACTACTACAACTAGTGCTGCTAGTACTACTAGTACTACTAGTACTACTAGTACTCTTACTTCCACTACTTCTACTACGACTGAAAGTCGTCTCAGCATTCTGATTCTGGCATGCATCCAAGCCGGATAATCGGGACGTGCAGCTCGGCACCTGCTTATGCAAGATTCTTCAACGCCGGGGGGTCTCGGTCAGCCTGATGCTGCACGCGCCCCTTCTTCGTTCTCTCCCTTCCTCACTCTTTTTTTGCTTCTCTCTCTCTCTCTCTCTTTGTCTGTCTCTCACTCTCTCTCTACATTTTTGTCTTTGTCTTCATAATGCTTCGAAGATCTGCAGCTGTAGCTGCAGCAAGGCCTTAGCAGAACTAGGTGCCAAAACCCTCGACCCTGAGCAGCAGATCGTCCCTTGAAGGATGCGCTGGTCCCTCCGGAGCACGGCCGAAAGGTCTACGGAGCCATCACGTCCAGGCGCATGCTCGTCTCGGGCTCAGGCGCAAGCTTCCGTTGATGCGTCTTTGTGAACATTAGGATCTTTGGGGCTCATGTTTCCTGTGGTTTTTCGGTGTTTTCTTGGCTTAGTTTGTGGGGCTCAGGGTTAAGGGTACCTGCTTGCTTCTGGGTTTTAGGAGTTGGTCCGGTGCTTTCTGATCCCTGCCCTGCCAAGGTTACCCCGAACAACATGAGCCACAACACGTCGCTTCTGAAAGATGCAGGAGTCTCGGTCCCTAGACCCTAAACCCTAAACCCTAAACCCTAAACCGTGAAGGTTGCAACCTTCATCCTTCCCATGACCCACTTCTTCTCCCTACCAGACTACACCTTCGAAGAACTGCAGGCCGGGTGTCGTGGGGTTTGGGATTTAGGGATCCGGGCTTTAGCGGTTTTGGTTTAGGGTTTAGGGGCGTAGGGTTTGGGGATTCGGTTTAGGGTTTAGGGGTTTGGGGCTAAAGTTTAGGGATTCGGGTTGAGGGTTTAGGCTGTGAAAGCGCCCCTGCAACAGGTGCCGGACTGGGTATTCCCAGTAACGACTCCAAAGGAGGAGGGCCATGGTGGCCGTGCATGTTGCAGATCTCGGATATCCTAAGTGTAGGTTTTAGGGATCCGCGAAATTCAAAGTTGAGGGTTCAGGGTCCAGCTCTCACGACATGCCTCGTCGCTGTCGCTTGCAAGGAAGAGGCACAAGACAACCAGGAAGACCTTGTCGAGATGCTCAGGCGCCGAGGGTTCGCTAGGCCCTATCGCACCAAATCCTTTACCCTGGAACCTAAACCCTAAACCCTAAACCGTTTCGGCTGCCCAACCCAGACCTCGAAGTCCGAATATTTCGCATAGGTGCCAGGTGCCATGTTATTACTGGCGGTCCTTCGGGATGATTGCCGTTAGTATAAGGGCCTCCATAATTACCTATACCATTCCGGGGGCTCCTTATTAAATTATAATTAGTATATAAACGGCCCCAAAACCCTATTCTAATGGGGCTTATATCATAGAACCCTACTCTAGATCCCTTATAGAACCCTTTAAAGGACCCCTTAAAGGATAGTCTAATTATTGAGCCCCTTACATTAGTCGTCCGGTGCGACCCCATCCCATGACCGCACCGAGGCAAGCGAACCAAAAGTCGGGCCTTGCACTCAGGGGCGAGACAATCTCCGATAGGGTTTAGGATTTAGCGTTTAGGGTTTAGGGTTATTTAGGGTTTAGGGTTAGGGTTTAGGCTCCGAGGATAGAACAAACACGTTGAATTGTAGTTGAAGCTAGTTGCAGTACTTTCCCGAGGGCGAAATTCGTGATAAAAGGATTCCCTTGTGCTCCCTACATAGTTACGGTATAAGATACGCACATCAAGGAACCCTGTACCTCAAGGAAGCCCACTAAGGTCACCATACCAGCGGGTTCTGTTTCTTTTCTCAATGTGTCCGAGGATGGCTGGCTTCTGCGAGCTGGTTGTGTGGACGTTCTGCCTGCAACCAGCCTGGCCGTGTCCTGGCCGCAGGGGCTTACAGAAGTAAGGCCTCCGGCGTTTTAGGGCTAAGGGATTGTTCGGCTTGGCGGTTGAGGGGTGCAGTGGTCGATGTGTGTAGGCTCACTTCTGTGTCTGTAGTCATACGACCCGAAACCCTAAGCCCAAGAGCATCGACGTTATTGCCAACAGTGCTATGCTGTCGACTTGGATCTGCCGAGCAGATTCTACAATAAACCTCAGAGCAACACGTGGAGTGGCCCCAACAACAGCCCTTTACGCAAAGCTCAGCAATAGCAATCAGAGTAAGCCCCTGAGTTCAGATGTGGGCCTTGCCAGGAGGTCTGGAGGAAAGCATAGTCGAGCCCATCAGCCGTGGGCGCCCCAAGCAGTTTCCAATGTCGAAAAGGCCGAGGCATGCCTGGAATCCTTCAGTCGTAGGAAGTGACATCATCTTATACTTATACTGTATTATATGACGTCATATGTGCCAGATCTTACTTGGAGGGTCGGGGGACCTAGTAAGTAGGTAGTAAGTAGACTCATAAGTACCCTAAAAGGGACCCTAATTGGGGCTAAGGTGCTTACAAGTCCCGAAAATAACCAGTTACTAAATCCCCCGACCCTCCAAGTATTGTGCCGCATCATTCCATATCTTAACGTATCATGCCCTCTCACATCATAGCTTGGATAACATATCGTATCATACCACATCATACCTATCATACCATGACACATCACATCGCACCATATCTCATCATATCACGCCATATCACATCATATCATTTCGTATCAGAACTACATAACATATCCCATTTTCTATATCGTATACCTTATGTCTTATATATCATGTTTGATCTTCTGCATCTTACACCTTGCGCATCTTATATCTTATATCTTGCATCCTGTCTATTGTATCTCAAACCTCATATTCTTATATCTCATATCTTGGGTCTTATGTCATGTCTTATATCACACCATATCATAACATATGCCGTCTTATCTTATCTGGTCACATTCCTTCATATCAGATCATGCCATTTCATGTTTCATCTCGCTTCATCATGCCATATCACACCGTCATCAGTTCACATCATGCCATATGATGTCTGATATCATTCCATGTCTTGTGTCATATCATGCTAGATCATGCTATATCCAATCAAGCGAACCTAAACTAAGTCATGGTCTATCAAGCTATGTAGTATCGAGATCCCTTTAAAAGGCACCAATAAAGCGACCCATGACAGAACCCTACGGTACCATTGGGGCACCCTTAAAGGATCCCTGAAAGGAACCCTAGGAGCTTCTGAGGCTTGAAGCCCGAGCCTTTTGCTGATCCTCCGGCCCAGCGAAAAGGCCGCAAGTCGTCGCGGACTGCAGGGCTGGTTTGTCAATGCTTGCTGTCGGGGCAACACTCAGACTCACAGGCGATCCCGGCACGGTGGTGGTTGACATGACACCATCACCCACCAGGACATTAGTTGAGATGCCTTCAACTTCACAGAGGCTGTATGTGTTAGATTCTTGTCTTCAGCCACTGCGACAGGACGGCCAGCGTAACTGAGCTGCAGAACCGCCCTGCGCCGTGCCAGATCTGAATCTCTTCCGAGCCGGATCCAAGGCACCTGCTCAACTGCAGAAAGATCCGACCGCCGCTGCAGTAGAGGCCGCTTTCGCCTCCTTTCGACACAGGGTCATGTTGTGGGGAATCCTGACATTACCTAAGGTGTGCTGTAATAGTGTAAACTGAGAAGTATCCTCCGAGGTTTGTTGACGTTGCTTCAGGTTGCGACACTGCTGTATCCTTTCTGATGCTTGCATGTATGTCTGTACGTATGTATTGTAATTTGTGTCGTGGTGATGTATCTTTGTAATGCATGTTTGTCATGTAAGTATGTATGCAAGTATGTAGGCCTGCATGCATGTAAGTAAGTATGTACTTTTGCATCTATGCATGCATGCGTGCATGGGCCACCTTGCCAGCATTATCTTCGTTTTGAATCAACACTACCACCATCACTATCGTCGCAGCCACGACCACGACCACCAGCACCACCATCATCATCATCGTCATCACCCTCATCAGTACCCTGGCCAGTATCATTAACAGCATCAACATCACGATCACCAGCATCACCATCACCGTCATCCTCATCATCCTCATCATCCTCATCATCGTCATCACCACCATCATCATCATCACCGTCATCGTCATCATCAGCATCATCATCGTCACCACGGCCATAAACACCATCACCGCAGCAGTCTGCACTATGATCCTGATGACGATTGTGATGATGACAGTGAAGATGATGACCATGACTGTGCTCAGCAACATCTTCATGAATGCCAGCATCGTCATTGACATCATCGTTGCAGCCGGCTTTATCATTGCTGTTGCTATAAATTCGATGTGAAGTCGATACTGCGGCTGTTATGTGCTGACTCCCGCTCCAGCGACATCGCCGTGTGTGCTTTGTTGTGCTTTTTCTGAAGTGCTGCAATCGGGCTCCCGTCGCAGTCTTGTGTTCGTTTTGGCCTTCAAATCGCTCGAAGTCGCTATCCATAGGCTCCATTGTAGTTCCTGTTTGGGATTACCTTATAGGATCCTAAATATAAACCACAAACCCTGGGCATCAAAATGGCCCAAAAGCCTTATGTAGTATGGTCTTTGGGCCGGCAAGCCTTAACATATGAGTCCTTAGATGCCTCGGGAAACAAGGAACTACTATGGAGCCTCTCGCGTGTTGGGGTGCTTACTAGGGCCTTAAATCATTACAAGGTACTCTTTTGGGGGCGACTTATTAAAACTATACTATAATTTGCTCCAAACCCTACTCTAATTATGAAGGCCCCTATATTACCTTGTGTGTTTTGGCTGCGAGTCGTGCTAACGCAAAAGAAAGCGTGCACAGTCCACTTCCAGTTTTGGGGTGCAACAGCGCGGTGCGTGTTCTGTGGTGCCATGCCGCCACAAGGTAGGTTATAATTTCGCTGCGTGAGGTCTGTGCGGACAGAGCCCTTGCTATATGTCAACACATGGCAACTGATTCACTAATCTGTCATGTGTATGGAGCATAAAATCAGGATCCCCGTCGCAATCCTGTTTGCTGGAGGATATGGTGCGTTGTCTGACATCCTGTTCCATTATCTACAGCTTTTGCTCGTGATGTTCGATCTTTCTGTGCTATCATAGATACTTGTGAAAGTTCTACATGTACTTGGACCTATCCTGAAACCCTGAAGCCCTCGAAGTTGAATCCTATCAACCCTAGTCGCCCGAACCTCTAAGCCCTCCAAACCCTCAACCCTGAGCCCCCCTAATTCAGCCCCGCAGCTCAAAAACCCAGAAGCCCTGCAACACCGTGAGGAGGGTGTTCCAGACGAGCTCGCCACACTTCGGCCAAGTCAGGCGAGATCTCAGCTTTTCGTTAGAGAGGTTTAGGGTTTAGGGTTTAGGGACCCTAAACCTAAACCCGAAACCCTAAACCGTGGTTTGCCGCTAGCCGCCCAGGGCTTGCTCCCTCCCAAGATGCCGTGTCTGCATGGGTCCTGCTGCTGGGAGGTATGGGATCCTCACTCACCCTCCGGGCTGACCAGAGGTGGGGCTTGCGTGAGTGTACCTGAAACCGCGAATGCTACACATTCAATGTACTCTATCATCATCTATTCCTTATAACAGAATATCAGCCGGCAGAGTAGAAATGCAATGCTGTTTCAGCATATGACTTATGTTTTGTTGCCACAACCAGTTATAATTGAATATGTGCTATTGCAGTCTGATGTAACCTAACCTAGTTCCTTCTAGACCCGAGGTTATTGAGAAGCCTGAGACAGTTTCATGTAAGCTAAGACAACTTAAACTTACTAATTCAACTCAACATGAGCTGATATAACAAGATATCTTGGCATACCGTATCATACAACATAAAATAGTAAACTTCATCGTTTTGGCCTGGGCGAGGTTATGCTCATGTAGTTTATGATATCGCATCGCACAGTACAGTAGAGTATGGCATGATGTGACGTCATATGGGAGTCTCCGAAAATTCGGGGTACCTTTTTTGGGGTTCCTACTTATGATAAGGGATCCTACTATTTAGGGTACTATATTCGGGTCCCCTATTTTCGGAACCCCCCCCCCCCCCCAATATGAAGAGACTACTGTTGCATGCATAAGCCAGAGCCGGGACCTCCCTTTGTTGTAGCTTGCTGCGATACGGTTGATGACATAAATCCCGCGTTACCCATAATCGGTTTAGGGTTTAGGGTTAATTCCCATAGTCTAGGGTCATTAAGGTACTGCAGGGTTTGTATCATCAACCGTATGACTTGTTAGCAGCGGTGCTCAGAAGCTTCGTTAGTCCTAAGCCCTAAACCCCAAACCCTAAACCCCAAACCCTTGGTCACAGACTTTTGTGAGGTGCCAATCCTCGGACAGGCTCCCAGGACTCATGTGCACTGACAGAGGTCTCCCGTGAGTATAAGTTCGGCCGCGCGAAGACCGAGCTCTAGCAACTAGCAAGGATGGGACGTTGCCAAAATGAGGGTCGCTTGTGTGGCGACGTTTTGGGTATCCGGTCTAGCGCAGTATGTCTTCACCGACCCTCATTTTCGAACACCGTCCCACTGCTCGCAGTTTCAGCTGGGGGTCGTTGAAGGGAACTGGCGGGAGGCGCCGTATCTCTGACAGCACTGACGGCTTAAGAGGGCTGCCAGTTGTTAGTGACTGGGCCCCTCCCGAGCCTGTTTCACGCTGATCTTCAGAATCCGGCAAGGTGACCAAGTGATAGCCTAAGGCATCTGAGATTAGTGGACAGCAACGCATAAGATGTTATGATGGCCGCAGGCCATGCCTCTTCCTGCCTCCTGCGACTACCCGCGACCACTCCCCGCTTTTGGACGCGCAAAGGTTCACAGCAGCCGTCGTTTCCGGAATACGCGCCTCAAAGAGGTGTGCACATGTTCGAAAGGCGCCGCGTCGGAGGAAAGTTGCGGGAAGGAAGGGTCCAGTAAACTAGTATCGGGGGCCTGAATAACGAACAGGGTTTGATTGAAGGGCTTGCGGAACGGGTCCTATAAGGGGTATTCAGAACAGGGGACTTAACAATTTGAATATGCATTCCGGGATCGGTGATTTTCGACTCGAGATGACCAAGCCATTTGTTCTTGAGTTGTCGTATGAGACCCCTCTTGTCCCAAATAAAGAATCAGGAAAGATTAGCATCTCAGGCTCCTGCGCATGCCCCAAGCCCTAAACCGCGAGCCCAACACTTGAACCAGTAATCCTAGACCCCGACTTCTAAACTCTAAACCCTAAAAATCAAAGCCCAAACTGAACCCCAAATTCCATCCCGGGCCTGTTTAGGCCGCACCTACCCCTTCCTGGGGTGCCCCAGGCTGTTTCTGCAGAGGTGGGAATTCAGGGCGGCAGCCCTACCCCCAAAAGGTATTGCTTTGGGTGGTAGCCTGTGCGAGCTAGCTGACAGCACAAGGGTAACAGAAGCAAGTGCCAATTTAGTATTTGTGACTGGATGACCCAGCATCCGGATACGCCGCCCCCTGGGAGTGTGGAGGGCCCACATCCTACATAGATATAACTGCCACTGCGCGGCCAGACGTCGTCAACTGAAAATGCTTGGAGGGTCGGGGGACTTAGTAACTAGTTATTTTACGGACTTATTAGTACCATAATCCCAATTAGGGTCCCTTTTAGGGTACTTATAAGTCTACTTGCTTACTAAGTCCCCCGACCCTCCAAGTAACCTGAACCCAAAGCCTCAGACCAAAAAACCCAAATTCTAAACCCCCAAACCCTAAGCCTCAGACCTCTAACCCGACAGGTAACTCCCAACCCGCCCTAAACCCAAACCCCAGACCCTCAATCCCCGACCCTCCTGTCCTAACCCTAAACCCCAAACCCCAAACCCTAAACCCTAAACCCCAAACCCTCTTAACCGCAGGAACCGTGGCAATTGCCGGCTCAAAGGCCTCAGCAAAACCGGAGAGGAGCGGCGACAGCGCGGCTACCTTTGGGCCCGCTCTCCTTGTGTGCCCCTGGCTTGGGTTTAAGGATTAGGGTTCAGGGCTTCGGGTTTAGGGTTTCGGGTTTAGGGTTTCGGCTTTGGGGCTTAGTTTTTGAGTTTGGGGTCCAGGGTTTAGGGTATTCCTTTCCGGGGTACATAGGCTGTAAGGTTAGAATTTAGAGTTGAGGGGTACGGTGCAGGGTTTGTTGTGAACGATGGTGTTGTTCTTCTGTTTAGAACTGTTTTATCAGCTTTCAGCGTTTCCCCGTATAATCTTATTGTGACAGCAATGTTCAGATTGACTACTGTCATCATGCTCAGTTTAAAACAACGATACTCGAAAACAAAGGCTCTTATCTTTGTCACCATCTTGCTGTAACATCGGATGTGTTTGATTTTGAGCAGTGCCATTGTTGCCACGGGCGTTGCTACTTGGACTATCGCATCGACTGTGCCTGTTCCAATTACAATTGTTACTGCTGTTCCTTTTTTAACCTTTGTGGTTTGTAGTTTGTGCTCCTCTCACAGCTAGCTTTGGCTATTGGTGCTTTTGCGACTGCTAATTCGACTATTGTTGCAACAGTTGATGTTTTTCTTACTGCTGTGAGTATTGCTACCATCGCTGATCGCACTAGCAAAACCAATGTGTTTGCTATGACTGACCGGCTAGCATTGGTATTGCTACAGAGACTGTCATTCGGTTGATGATATAAATCCTGCATTACCCATCATAAGGAATGTACCATGATTCCCGTAGTCTAGGGCCCTTAAGGTAATGCAGGATTTATATCATCAACCGTACTTGCCCTACGCTTTCTCCTGTGAAGAGATGCATACTGGGTCACGGGGCTATGTCTGTGTGCACAAAGTTTGAGAACTTTGAGACGAAACTGTAGCAATAGCACAAAGTTTGAGAACTTTGAGACGAGGCTGTGGCGATGGCCTATGCTCCGTCTAGAAGGCTTGGAAGCAGCTGGGTTTCTTCGGAGTTGAAAAATGGTCACAGATAGTGAAGACAAGACGAGGAGGAGGAGTAGTGGCAGCGGCAGCAGCAGCGGTAGCAGCTGCAATAGCAGTAGTCATGGTATTAGTGGGGCATGGAGAAGCAGTCGGAATGCAACTGCTGCATCCACGGCTGCCACTGCCACTACTACTGCTGCGTAGTACTTTTTTCCTTTTGGTACTAATAACCAGTACCACCACCAGTACGAGGACTCGTACCAGTACTAGTAGTAACTTGAGTAGTAGTACAAATACAAGTCAGAGTACAGTACGAGTACAAGTATAAGTACAAGTACCGGTACAGGTACAAGTGCACGTGCATGTGCACGTACAAGTACAACTGCAACAACGAAAGCTACTACTGCTACTGCTGCTACTACTACTACTGCTGCTACTACTACTGCTACTGCTACTGCTACTGCTACTGTTACTACTACTACTACTACAATTCTACTCCTACTCCTACTCCTGCTCCTACTCCTACTCCTACTCCTACTCCTACTCCTACTCCTACTCCTACTCCTACTCCTACTCCTACTCCTACTCCTACTCCTACTCCTACTCCTACTCCTACTCCTACTCCTCCTACTCCTACTCCTACTACTCCTACTCCTACTACTCCTACTACTACTACTACTACTACTACTACTGCTACTGCTACTGCTAGTGCTACTGCTACTACTACTACTACTACTACTACTCCTACTACTACTACTACTACTACTACTACTACTACTACTACTACTACTACTACTACTACTACTACTACTACTACTCCTGCACGCCTACGTTGGTCAAGAGGGCGAGTACCTGTGGCTACTGCTGCTGCTGCTGGTGCTGCTGCAGCAGCTCGTGAACCGAATCGCAGCTTGAGCTTGCGGTAGCAGCTGAAAGGTGTCCTGAACAGCATTCACAGCCTTATCCTTTGCTGCATTGGACTGGTTTGAACAAGAGGCCTTTCAAAGCTTCTTGAGCGACTCATGAACCCTGAACCACGAGCCCTCATGAGTCATTCCCACATCGTTGGTGCTGTGACATGCCCGGAAACCACCAGGCGGACGGCTCTGGCCTTTGGCGTCAGCAGCCTGATGGTGTTGGCCTTCTGTGGTCGGAAACTTTGAGCCAGGTTTCAGGGTTTCGGGTCAGGGCGACTTCTGACAAGATCCCCATGAAAGACACATCCAGCTACAGAAGGAAGTTTGGCAGCCCCCTGAACTGTGGCTCTGAAGCACCGGAAGTCGAGAGAAATTTCCTTCAATTCCTACACACCAAAGCCCAAAGCGCTAACTGCCCAAACCCTACAACTCAACCTTTAAACCCCTAAACCCATAAAGACCCCAAGCCCCCAAACCCAAACCCTGAGCCTTGACCCCTACACTCGAAGCCAAAAGCTCCTGACGAGGTCTGCAGCAGTCCTTCGTGGCCCTGAGCCCTGCGGGTGCAGCCAGCCCTCGCTCCGAGGTGCGGCGTTTTCTAGGGTTTAGGGTTCAGGGGTTTAGGGTTTACATTCAGGGTTTGGGGTTTAAAGGCGTGGGGTTTAGGGTTTAGAGGCTTTAGAGGTTTAGGGTTTAGGATTCTACAAGGGTTCAAGAAGGGCAAAGCGGGGTATGATAAGGGTGCTATACGGGTTTGAAAAGGGGCCCTATCTTGGTAAGACAAGGTACTAGAAGAAGAGTACAAGTGTATTGTAAGGGAACCATTCTTGGGTTATACGGTTCGGGGCTTACGGGACTGGGTTTAGGCGTAAAGTTTGGGATGTAAGTGGGTTTATTGGGTGTGGCGTCTACAGAGGCTGAGCCTTGGCAACAGGCAACAGGCAAGACGGCAAGATAGGTAAGATCTGCCGGCTGCATTAATTTAGAGACTGTTTAGGGGTAAGGAGTACGGAATACAGAAGGCCCAGTCCGACTCAGCAACGACATCATCACTCCAAAACCCCAACAACCCAACACGCGTTAAAGCAGCAGCATTATATTATGATTATTGTACGTACTGTTTCCTGGACCCCAAGGAGCCTACCTTTTTGGGGTTCCCTAGTATGATTTCTTTATATAAGTCCTTAAACAGGTAGTTCAGTTGGGGTAAAGGTTGTTATTAGTAGCAATATTTGTCAGGATCGTAATTATGAATATTGTTGACCAGCTCCCTGAACCCGGCATCCCAAAGCTTGAACCTGGCCCGCAATGCTGCGCCCACACCCGCATGTGAACTCCACAGGTCCGGCTGCTTGCCGGGGCAGGCCGGCTTTGCAAAGAACGTCCGAGGGTACACGCCGAGAGCAGCTGCCGCAGAACGGCGTCAGGGTCGGGTTTGGTTCAGGCTTGGGGCAGTTTTCAAGAATTCGCATGTCGTTTAGGTGTAAATCTCCCACCCTCACCCTGCAAATTTTGAGCTGCAAGGGCAACAGCAGACGGCTAGAGCTGCGCCACCCAGCGCTTCTGTGGCCAGCTGGGGCATTCCAGCTGCGTGCCCTCCCTAGCGCAAGGTGGCGAGGGTTACCCTAAACCCCAAAACCTAAACCCTAAGCCCTAAACCTTAACACCCTACAGTGAACCCTAAACCGGTTGAGTGTCCTCAGCCAACATTGACATGGCTTCTGGAGGCTAGTGAGCATGATTATAACGCTGTTTTAGCCTTTAAGAGCCGGGGCTGAGGGGTTAGGGTCTTTAGGCTGTTGCGACTGACGGTTCATTTCTATTCCGGCATAATGTAGGAACCTGATTAAGAAACCCTGGGCCTATAACCCCTAAACTGTAGGGTTCATAGAAGGAACCCTAATGAAGGCCCAAGGTTTCTTAATCAGGTTCCTACATGACGAAATCTGAACACCTCCCAAACCCCAAATGGGAGTTTCCGAAAATAGGGGACCCTAATATAGTACCCGAAATAGTAGGATCCTTATTATCAGGACCCCGAAACAAGGTACCCCAATTTTCGCAAAGTCCCAAATAAATCACAAGACCAAAGCCTGAACACTCAACTGCTTTGTTTTTGAACCCTCTTTTCCGTCTGCTAGCCCTTTTACCCAGAGACTCCAAGATGCCTGAATTAAGGAATATACCTTAAATCATATTGGGGACCCCACTATATTGTAAGGTAAATTCCTCAATCAAGGGAAAGATGCCTTAGATCAATGTAGGATCCCTGATATGATTTAAGGTATATTCCTAATTCACTTTATGGAACCCTTATAGATCCCTTTAAGGAAACCTTTAAGGACTCCAGGATGCCTGATATGATTTGAGGTGTATTCCTTAATGAAAGGATCCTTTTTTCGGGACTTATAAGTACCATAACCCCAATTAGGGTCCCTTATAGGGTACTTATAAGTCTACTGGCTACCTACTCACTAAGTCCCCCGACCCTCCAAGTAAGGTATATTCCTTAATGAAAGGATCCTTGGGTCCCTGGGCAGAGCTACCTGAGGCTCGCTCTTGGTGCGGCAGTTGCCCTGAGCTGAGCTGGACATGTCGTCACGGGGAGTTGCACAAGATTCGAGTTCAATCTGATGTGCCAAATAATTTTTGATTTTTTCACCAGTTCAATCTGATGTGCCTGTGTTCGTACGATATGGAGTATCTAGGCCCTAGACTAATTCCGAAAGCCCCATAGCCCCAAAGCCCTGAACCCCTAAAACCTAAACCTTAAACTCTAGCTCCTGGCCCTCGCGGCCGTTCGGCAGAGACCTGAAACTCTCAAGCCCCTGAAACCTTTAACCTACAGTCCCCTCCCCTGCACCCCTGAAGCCCTAAAGCCTTGAAGCCCTAAAGGCCTAAAGCCCTAAACCCCTAAAGCCTGAACCCGTATACCCTAAACCCTCAACTCCGAACCCTAAACCTGTTAAACCCCCTAAAGCCCTGAACCCTCAAACCTACAGTCCCCTTTTGCCATCTTGAGGTGTTGGCCTCGCAGAGTCGTGATGAGCCGAGGCCTTAGGATGGAGTATGTCGCGAGTTTAGGGGTTTGGGGGTTCAGGGTTTAGTTTAGGGTTTAGGGTTTAGGGGTTTAGGGGTTTAGGGTTTAGTTTAGGGTTTAGGGTTAGGGGTTTAGGGGTTTAGGGGTTTGGGGCTGAGCTTAGGGTTTAGGTTTTAGGGGTTTCCATCTTCTTTTTTCTCCTCTTCCGAGCATCGCAATCATAGAATGACTGCAGTGCGTATGAGTGCTTTACCTTGGTACTACGTAGTCTGACAACTACCGCTGTTGCTCTTGCTGCTGTTGCTGCTGGTGTGTTGCCGTTGCAATTCATTTTGCTGTTGCTGCTGCCACTGCCGATGATGCTGCTGCTGTTGTCGTTGTTGTGGTTTTTGTTGCTGTGTTATCTTTACTCGTCGTCGCTGATGTTGCCGTGGCCTGAAGGCCTCAAGAATGAACCCGAGGTCCTGCACCACGATGTACGGCAAGCACGACAAGAAGACCTTCAGGGGGACCGCCCACTTGCGACCACTTGCGACCGGATTTGGATATATCGGGTTTCCAGCGTTACGGGGCTTCAGGGGTGAGGCTGTAAGACTGAAGGAGATTCGTCTATAGAGCTGGCCGTCGCCACCGCGGAGTTTTCGGGTTATGAGCTTCCAGGCTAAGATTAATAGTCTAGAGCCTTGTACCCTAAGCCTAAATCCTAAACCCAAACTGCCAGAAACAGGTTCGGAGACAACTTTCAGATCAGGACTTGATTAAAGAAGAGGGCTGTAATAGATGATATTCCATGACCGAGTATGGTACTCCATAGCGGTATACAGAGCTGCAGCGTAGATTCGTGCAGAATAGTGCATATGTCACGACACGACAGGACCGAGCACCAGCGAACAAGAATGTGTCAAGCTCACAGGTTCTAAATCTATGATTTCCACAGACACATTCAGCACGATCTACTTAAATCAGACCACACCAAGAAACGGAAGGCGAAGAGATGGAGCCAGGAGCCAACATGTAGATGTGCCGCGACTGCAGGGAATCTATGCCTGCACATTCAGCTATCGCAGGAAGCAGCATGCCCACAGCTTCGGTAAGTACCGCATGCGCAAGAACAAGGCGGCTGCTTGCGGCTACAGGGTTTAGGGTTGAAGCTTGTTGTCGTAGCAAGGACCAGAAATGTTCGAGTACGGTTGAGACTTGCTTCCGGTTCTCTTTGTGGTACCAATCGCTTGGGTTTGTACTTCTGCAGGCGCGACGCATCCAGGCAATCAAGCTGCGCACTGAGACGGCTGTGCCATGTGACTCACGTCCTTTGAATGCCTGCTTGGAGGTTCATGGGTAGTTATAAGTGGGGTGATAAGTCCCCTCATATGGGTTATAAGTATACTTGCCCTACTTGAAACCCTACTTATAACTACCCATGAACCTCCGAGCTTTGAATGCTGAGCTGGACCATCGGTGTCTCTGTCAGGAACGGAACCTACGACCCCGAGAATACGCCCCAGAGGGTGGCTCTGATGCATGCATCTGGCTTTCGGACCCTCCCTATAGTCTCCATTGTAGTTCCTGCTGTTGTTTTAACAACATATATATATATATAGTTCCTGTTGTTGTTTAACAGTATATACAAAAATATCAGGATCCCGTAAGGTACCCTCAAAAAGGAAGTACAGTGGAGACTCCAGGTAGGATTCGGAGCTACTTCCTGAGACTAGCCTGTCTGCAGGGACAGCCTGAGCCTGAACATACCTGGGACTACGACAACATCGTCGACAACCCCATGTTCCTCGGCTGCTATGATGGAGACCCCAGGATCCTTCGGTTCAGGGGCACTTACTCAAGGAATCGTAGTTTTAGGAGTATTCCCGAACTATGGGCTTTGAATCTCTCCATCAGTTGCATCCAGGGGCTGCTGTGCCTTGAAAACTTGCCTGATGATCTAGCTGACGTGCCCAAAGCAAGTTCAGACTTCAGCTTGAGCCTGAACCCTAAACTTTCCTAAGCCCCGGGGCACCCTAAACCCTAAACTCTATACAACCGACGAATTTCTGACTTTTTGTGTTGGCCAGATACTATGCTCCGGACTACCTGAAGGAAGTCATGGCTGCGCGGCGCCCAGATTGCGGCAGCAATCCAGATGCCCAGAGACTCCAATATCCCTTAATTAAGGAATATACCTTAAATCATATTCAGGATCCTGCAATAATTCAAGGTATGTTCCCTGATTAAATAAGGGATATTGGAGTCGCTGGATGGTCGTGTTGATAGACACGGAAATGATGCTTGCAGGCAAACAAGAAGCACGGCCGATGCATCTGAACAAGTTTGTCTGTCTGTATGTTTATATGTGCGTACGTGCATGCATACGCATGTCTACACAGCTAGGTATTATGTTCCAAGCTGTAAGTTGCATCGGGTTCACCCAGACTACATCAGGATTACTGGGATGACGTGAACGAGGTGATGCGCAAGAAGTGGAAGGACGAGCGAGTGTCGGCAGTAGCACCCATGATTTGCCGTGTGCACTAAGACGCTTCTAGCCCCTTCAATCATATGTTGGATCACCTTGTGCAGAGTTTCTTCTCGTGTAAGTCGGAACCGGTCGCGCGCTTCGGTGTTGCAACTTCGGGAATACAGGACGAGGGAAATCCGTCCGAATCAGCTTGCTTCTGTGATAATATAGCTCTTTCACGGTGTTATGCTGACTAGGAAACTGGAGCAGCAAGTCCAGCTAGTCCTGAAGTTTCCCGAACTGGAAGCCTGACTTGTGTGCATGGAAGGAGTACATGGGCGTCAAGGGGAACCAGCGGTACTTTAAGAACTGGACTCCGCCTGGAATGGAGCCACCGCCAGAGGCGCGCCGGATAGTATAGGTCTCATGGTGCGGTGCTTGCTTGGAGGGTCGGGGGACTTAGTAACTGGTTATTTTGGGGGGACTTATAAGTACCATAACCCCAATTAGGGTCCCTTTTAGGGTACTTATAAGTCTACTTACTACCTACTTACTAAGTCCCCCGACCCTCGAAGTGTCTTTCAGGCATGACCATGCAACAGCCTGAGTTGTGTCACGAGTTGCATAGCTGCCTTGATTAAACGCTCTCTTGGCTTCAATCTCGTGAAGTCGAACACACCAAGAATCCCAAACCCTAAACCCTAAAGTCTTGAAACCTAATCCTCAAAGTCAGAATAGACCCTAAACCCTAAACCCCTACGCCCCTGAGCCCAGAAACCCCTAAATGCCGAAAGCCCCAAACCCCTAAACCCCCTGAGCCCTACAACTCGCCCAACCCTAAATAGCCCACATCTTAAGGATCTATACAGAACCCTAAGCCCTAAACGCTACATGTAAATAAGGGAATCATAGTAGGGAGCCCTAAACCCTAAACCCGAAACCTTAAACCAAAAACCCTACAGTTTAGGGACGTATAAAAGGGAGTCATAATTAATAAAGAGCCCTAAATCCTAAACCCTAAGCCCCTAACCCCTAGCCCCTAAATCCCTAAACCTTGAACCCTATCCCCTAAACCTATAAATCCTAAACCTCAAACCCTTCAGTGAGCCCCAAACCGCAGGCGGAGCCTCCAGCTCCTTCAGATCCTCCGACTCCGCCGACTCCCCCTCCCGCTCCGAAGGCCAAGGCAGAACAGAGAGGAAGGGTGTAGGGCCTGGGAGGTTTGGGGTTTAGGGTCTAGGGGTTTAGGGGTTTAGGGGATTAGGGTTTAGGAGGGTTTAGGGCTAAAGGGTTAAGGGTTTGGGGTTTATAGTTTCGGGTTTAGGGCCAAGTTTAGGGGCTTGGGGGTTTAAGGGTTTAGAGTCTTTAGAAATTATGGTTTGCGGTTTAGAGGGTGTAGGTTTTTACGGTTCAGGGTTTGGGGCTTCAGGTTTAGAGGTTCTTGGGGTCTGGGGGAGGGTTTCCAGAGTTGGGTTCCGGTATTAGCAGCGGTGGAGCCTTACCAAAAGATCCTGCAGTCCTACACTTCTGCGTTGAGAAACTGACTCGGTAGCAATCGAATCCAATGGCGCACTGGCAAGAAAACCTTTCCCTCGGATCGATCTTAAAGCCATGAATTTCTTGTAGCCTTCAAACGCCGAAACCCCAAACCCCTGAACCCTCAACCTGAAAACCTCTACAACCTCTAAGCCCCAAACCCCAAACTCCGTATGCCGCGAAACCCTAAACCCTGAAGCCTCGGTTCCCTGAGTTCTGAACTCCAAAAGTTTGTCTGATTCTTAGAAAGGAATGGGGGAATGCATTATGGAGACTATTATTGGGGATTACATATGGACTACTACTATAGGGGCCTAAACAACTACCCATACTATTCTGTGGGTTCCTTATAATGATTAGAGTATACTGGGCCCCGAAACTATTCTAAGCATTAAGGCCCCTTTATCATAGAACCCTGCTGTAGATCTCGTATGGACCCCTTTTAAGGATCCCTTGAACGGAACCCTATTCTAATTATTAAGGCCCGTATATGTGGATAGTAAGCACCAGGGACCTAAACCCTAAATTCTAAATCCCCACCCCGGCCCCCTTGGGCCGTTCCCACCCATAACTGGGTGCCCAGACACTGAAGATGCCCGGCAGCCTTTACACCCGCACTGGACCAAACAATGGATGGAGCCTATGGAGAGTGGTCCGCCTCGCCGCCAGCCAGCCAGAGCTGGGCCTAAAATCCACCAGAACACCTTGATTCTCCCCTTGATGGGAACACCCTGGCCCTAACCCAGTCCAATCCCTCCACCATTGACCCTAAACCCAAAACCCAAAACCCAAAACCCTAAACCCTAAACCCTAAACCCTAAACCTTAAACCCCTAAACCCTAAACCCTAAACCGTGGCATTTTCCGGCCACCCAACATGGGCAGCTCAAGGGGGGTTCCGGGCCTCCGGGCTGGCCGGTTCCAGGGACCCGGGACCTGCTGGGCCGGTCCTAAAAGGCCTTTGTGCCCCTGTCCCTTGGCCCTCTGGCCGTCCTGTCCCAAGAGATCCACAATAGCATGGATTATCCGCCACTGCGCAAGAAGACACCCTAAACCCTAAATCCTAAACCCTCAACCTTAAACCTTAAACCCTAAACCCCTTGCTTGGTGAGGCTCCCTCCAAGCCGGCTCCTGAGGAGCCGCCTGAGGAACCCGTGACGGAGGAGGTGCTTGGGGTTTGGGGGTTTGGGGTTAGGGTCTAAGGTTTAGGGTTTAGGGTTGAGGGTTCAGGGTTCAGGGTTTAGGGTTTAGGGCTTTAGGGTTTAGGGTTTAGGGTTCAGGAGCGTTAAGGAATAACTACGAGATATTGGAGTCTTTAGGTGGGGGGAAGAGCATGGATTTCAGGAGTTGATATACGGGCTAAATAAGAATAGGGTTTCAGGGCCCATTAGATCATAAATATAATAAGGGCCCACCTAAAAAGCTAGTAGTGGGGACTTCAGGAGTTAGGGTGTACTGTGCCAGAGTTTAGGGGTTTAGGGGGCAGGGGTTTAGGGTTCAGGGTGTAGGGTTTAGGGTTTAGGCTAATATTCGGGATTGAGCCAAGTTAAGGATTTCGAAGTAAGGGTTTAGGGATGGTGTAGAGAAGCGAATGGAGGGTTGAGGGTGGAGACGGATTCGGATACACTACACCACGTGTGCTCCTCCACAACACAGTAATGCAAGCATAGATAGTTTTTTGATTTCTGGGCATTCAGAGGTGTCACATCCGCCCGCAGCGCCGGAAAAAGGCGGAAATCAGGAGCAAGCCAAGAGAGATTGAAGATAGATGGATACAGCAGGCAGGCAGGCAGACAGACAGACGGACAGGCAACCCCTCAACCCTGAACCCTACAGCCAAAACCCCTAAACACAGGTAACACTGTAACAGCCTGCACTCTGGGGCGCTGTACAGCTATTGCTGTGGAAACAGGCACCCCAAAAAAACCAAACCCTAAACCCTAAACTAAATGGGGCTCGTCTGCTGGCATCACTCGGAGTTAAAGGAAGTAGCAGCCCTAAGATCCTAAGCCCTAAACCCCTAAACCCTACACCCTAAATCCTTAAGACCCTAAACCCTAGAGCCCCAAGCCTCGCCATATCTGCAATCATCTCGCCCAAGCGGGCTTTTGAGACGCTTCATGATCAAAAGGAGCCCTCACAAACAACCCCAAGACCCCAAATCCTAAACCCTAAACCCTAAACCCTGAATCCTAAACCCTAAACCCTAAAAAAAAAAAACCTAAACCCTAAACCCTAAACCTTAGCCAAGAGCCTGAAAGGAGCCTCAGGCACCGGAGCCGGTGGCAGAGGAGAAGGCTGGGCCTTCCAAGCCTCTCGGGGTCTTTAGGGATTTCAGGGGGCGTAAGGGTTCCTTTCAGGGTTTACTACAGGGGATCCCGGAGACTGCAATATCCCTTAATTAGGGCATATACCGTGCATTATAGTAGGATCCTTAATGTGATTGAAGGTATATTCCATAATTAAAGGATGCTGGCGTCTCTGGGATCTGTAGAGGGCTTAGGGTTTAGGGGACTCCAATATCCCTTAATCAAGGAATGTACCTTAAGCCCACATAGCCTACATCTCAAGGATGTATATACTTTGTGGCTTTATCTAGGGTTTAGGGTTTAGCTGTACCTTAATTCCACATGACCTAGCTTGTTTTAAGGGTTTATTTAGGGGAAGTTAGGAATTAGAACAAGGAGCCCAACAAGTTCAAGGACTTACAAGGAGTCCAATCATGTAGATGTCCTATAGGATCCACGTAGGGTTTCGGTATCTCATGGCTTTCGGGCTGTAAGCATCACCATCGCATCGCAGTCGTGTTCATGTGAGATGAACAGAGCGTCGCGCAGCACAACGTCTGGAGAATGACCAACAGGGAGTTTCCGAAAATAGGGGACCCTAGTATAGTACCCTAAATCGTAGGACCCCTATTATAAGGACTCCCAAACAGGGTACCCCTATTTTCGGAAACTCCCAACAAGCGTTAAAGGCTTGCGCACCCAGTCTGTAGTTCCGAGGTTTAGATCCCCAAACCCTAAACCCTTAAACCCTATACCCTAACCCTGAACCCTAAACCCTAAAACCCCCCAGGCCCTAAACCCTAAACCCGAAACTCTGAAAGCAGCAGCTCGGGAAGTCAGAAGCGGGCTGCGGACACGTCATTGACATATCCTTCCGCTTCATGGGAGGCTCCTGCGCCGGAGCCACCTGCTGAGAAGGCCACGATCCTATACTAAACCCTAAACCCCAAACCCGGAACCCTAAACTCCTACTACCATCATAAGTTTTTCCAGGGCATTGCCACTACTTCCGTGAAACTGACCGTAGTTTGTAAGGCTTATTCTGCTACTACTACTACTACTACTACGACTACTACTACTACTACTACTACTACTACTACTACTACTGCTACTACTGCTACTACTCCTCCTCCTCCTCCTCCTCCTGCTGCTGCTGCTACTACTACCACCCCTACTGCTACTACTGCTATCCTGCACGAACAACCGACGTGTGACGGTGGCTAATGCAGGCACCCGAGCCTGAGCCGGAGGCGCCTAAGGAGGAGAAGGCCAATAATATAGGGACCTTAATGTTACTTTAGGGTTCCTTTAAGGGTTCCTTTAAGGGTTCCTTTAAGGGTTCCTTTTGAAGGGTCTATAAGGATTTCTAGAAGGGGCATTATAAGGGTCTAGTAGAGGGGCCTTATTGATTACACCCCCCCCCCAAGCCCTGTTCTAATTAATTCCTAAGGCCCGTATTGATCGAACAGGATGACGCTAGGGTTTAGGGTTTAGGGTTTGGGGTTTAGGGGTTTAAGGGTGTAGGGGTTTAACGGTTTAGGGATAATGACAAGAGCAAGAGCATGAGTCAGGTGGAGGAGACAGTAGCAACAAGAACAACATGCCGAGAATAAGAGCACTTCTAGCAATGCCTATAACAGTTGAACCGCAATGTTGAGGATATCACGCTGTTTGTAACATTAGCGGCGCAGATAATCAGGGTAAGCCGGAGAAGGATAGCAGTACCAACAGCAGAAATGGCGGTGATAGCAGCAACATCGTCACAGCTACAAGCAGCAAATTTCATGATACTTGTGATGATAGTGACGATGACAGCAGCCATTCGTTGATATGATGGGTCGCCGAGGAGAAGGTAGCAGACGGCAAGCTGTGGATTTGTCGTGTTTTTGGATTCTTTTTTGAGTGGGCGGGGGCATGGGGTTCAACAGATTCAGGGCTTTCATGTTTAGGGGTCTTTATACCTGAGTGTTGCTTAGAAGTCACTTTTCGCGAGTCTGAACCGACAGGGTTGTTCAACACATCCTGCTAATTATGAGCCTTGTGGATAACAAGGGTCCTGGTGTCTCACATCTTTAGTAGTTCCCATATGATCAGTGTGTCCAGGCACCTGAGCCAGAACCCGTCAAGGAGGAGAAGGCCGGAGTAATTGATGGTGGTGCTGACACGTGAGTGTTGCTATGGTGACGTGTCGATCGCAATTGACGATGCACGGGGTATTGGGCGCTCTGAGAACAGGCCCTCCGCCGTGCATTGTGTAGCTCTTTTTTGCTGTGTTTTCAGAGTGGAGGGGGGCGGTGGTTGGGGTTCAACAGTTCGGGCTACCATGTTCAGGGGTCTTTATGCCTGGTTGTCGCTTCCAACTCACTTTTCGCGTCTATCATAGCCTGAACCGAGAGGGTTGTTCAACACGTTGTGCTCACTGTGTGTTTTATGGATAGCAAGGGCGCTATCGTCTCACATCTTCAGTAGCTCCCATATGAGCAGTGTGTGCAGGCACCCGAGCCAGAACCCGTCAAGGAGGAGAAGGCCGGAGTACTTGATGACGGTGCTGACACGTGAGTCTTGCTATGGTGACTTGTCGATTGCATTCGACGATGCACGGGGTATTGGGCGCTCTGAGAACAATCCCTTCCGCCGGGCAGACGGCAAGCTGTGGATATGTAGTTATTCTATGCTTTTCTTTTAGAGTGGAGGGGACGTGGGGTTCAACAGATTCGGGCTACCATGTTTAGGGGTCTTTATACCTGAGTGTTGCTTAGAAGTCACTTTTCGCATCTTTCATGATCTAAACTCAAGGGGTTGTTCAGCATGTTGTGCTTTTCAATGGTCTTATGGATAGCAAGGCTCCTACTGGCTCACGTCTTTAGTAGCTCCTGCATGAGCAGTGTGTGCAGGCACCCGAGCCAGAACCCGTCAAGGAGGAGAAGGCCGGAGTACTTGATGACGGTGCTGACACGTGAGTCTTGCTATAGTGACTTGTCGATCGCAATCGACGATGCACGGGGCATTGGGCGCTCTGAGAACAATCCCTTCCGCCGGGCAGACGGCAAGCTGTGTATATGTAGTTATTCTATGCTTTGCTTTTAGAGTGGAGGGGACGTGGGGTTCAACAGATTCGGGCTACCATGTTTAGGGGTCTTCATACCTGAGTGTTGCTTAGAAGTCACTTTTCGCGTCTATCATAGTCGGAACCAAGAGGGTTGTTCAACACATCCTGCTTATAATAAGCCTTATGGATAACAAGGGTCCTAGTGTCTCATGTCTTTAGTAGCTCCCATGTGATCAGTGTGTGCAGGCACCCGAGCCAGAACCCGTCAAGGAGGAGAAGGCCGGAGTACTTGATGACGGTGCTGACACGTGAGTCTTGCTATAGTGACTTGTCGATCGCAATCGACGATGCACGGGGCATTGGGCGCTCTGAGAACAATCCCTTCCGCCGGGCAGACGGCAAGCTGTGTATATGTAGTTATTCTATGCTTTGCTTTTAGAGTGGAGGGGACGTGGGGTTCAACAGATTCGGGCTACCATGTTTAGGGGTCTTCATACCTGAGTGTTGCTTAGAAGTCACTTTTCGCGTCTATCATAGTCGGAACCAAGAGGGTTGTTCAACACATCCTGCTTATAATAAGCCTTATGGATAACAAGGGTCCTAGTGTCTCATGTCTTTAGTAGCTCCCATGTGATCAGTGTGTGCAGGCACCCGAGCCAGAACCCGTCAAGGAGGAGAAGGCCGGAGTACTGGATGACGGTGCTGCCACGTGAGTCTCGCTTTAGTGACCTGTCGATCGCATTCGACGATGTTCTTAAAACCTAAATCCTAAGCCCGAACCCTAAACCCTAAACCCTAAACCTTAAGCCTTAAACCCCAGACCCTAGATCCTAAGTCCCAGACCCTCAACTCTGAGCCCTGAACTGCGTGCTCTGGGATGAGGCCGCGGCTCCTGAGCCCGTTGCCGAGGAAAAGGCCGAGATGCCAGCAGCTGCACCATAGGGGTTTAGGGCTTGGGGTTTGGGGTTTAGGATTTAGGGCTTGCGAACGGATCCCCATCATATAGGGGCCCTAATAATTTGAAGAGGGTTCCTTTAAAAGGGGTCTATAGCGGATGCTATAAGGGTACTATGTTATAGGGGCCTTAATACTAAGAAGAGGTTCCTGTAAAAAGGGGTTTTTACGGGCTACTCCAAGTAAGGGCTATGATAAGGATGTAATATAGGGGCCTTCATAATTAGAAGAGGGTTCATGTAAAGGGATATATAGGGGTTACTACAAGCGATCTACACGGGTCCGATAATCTAGAGGGCCTTAATAATTAGCGTAGTGTTTTGGGGCCCATGATACTATATTTATAATAAGGAACCCCTCACAAATAGTATAGGTAATTTATTAAGGCCCCTATACTAAACCCCCATAATACCCCTTGTAGGAATCCTTTTGAGACCCCTTAAAAGGAGCCCTTAAAGGAACCCTAACGTAACATTAAGGCCCCTACTTTAGAGGCTGAGAGTCTCCGACTGTTCATCCCCAGGCACCCGAGCCTGAGCCAGCCAAGGAGGAGAAGGCAAGCTCCTAATGGAAGACCCCTAAATCCCTAAACACCGACTCTCCTTAATCCCTACATTCCTCAACCCCTAATCCCTAAACCCCTAAACTCACTAACTCCCTAAACCCTAAACCACTCAACCCTAAACCCTAAACCCGACCTTTCCCTAAGTGCGCAGTGGGTTGTTGCCAGAGTTCTCCCTGCATTCTGGTTCAGGCCCCAGCTCCAGAGCCAGTTGCCGAAGAGAAGGCACCAGCACTTGCATAATAGAGGGTTTAGGAGGTTTTAGGGTTTAGGTTTTAGGGTTTAGGGTTTAGGTTTAGGGTTTGGGGTTAGGGTTTAGGGTTTAGTCTTTAGGGTTAGGGTTTCGGGTTTAGGGTTTAGGGTTTAGGGTTTGGGGCCTAGATACTCAATAAGAATAGGGTTTTGCGGCCCAGTATACTATACTTACAATAAGGAACCCACCCAAATAGTATTGGTAATTATTCAGGTCCCTCCACACATCCCTATAATAGCCCTTATAATTTAAAGGAACCCCTAGGTAAATACTTAGGCCCCTTATAGTAACCATCAAGGCCGGATCAGGCAGGTGATGTTCCCAGAGACTCCAATATCCCTTAAGTAAGGAATATACCTTGAATCATATTAGGGATCCTACTCTAATTTAAGGTATATTCCGTTATTAAGGGATATCAGAACCCCCTAAACCCTAAACCCTATAGATCCCTTAAAGGATCCCTTAAAGGAGCCCTAGGTATTTCTTAATCAAGGGATATTGGAGCCTCTAGGTTGCAAGTCTGCCGGAGGCTCCCGAGCCGCCAAAGGAGGAGAAGGCGTTGGGTCGTATCGTAGGGACCCAAAAAGCACATACAGTAAACCCCATAAAGTTGGAAACCCGGTTAAGGCCAAATAGTGCTGGGATTCCTGAAACATAACTCTTAAGGATTGAGGCTATCGGGTTTCCAACTTTTGGGCTTCTACGGTAAGCATAAGCATTTTTTCGGGATATCCCTACCTTATTGGGCTTCATTATGAAGGGGGGTTTATATGGGATATCCCTATCCTTGTTTTTGCTTATGTGCTTTTTTGGTGCCTAGTATGGAGTGCAGGGTTCAGGGGTTAGGGTTTACAGTATGGGCTAGGGTTTATGAGTTCGGGGCTTAGGGGTTCTGGTTTAGGGGCTGGGGTTTGTGGGTCAGGGGTTCATGTCTAGGGGTCAGAGTTTAGGGTTTTGGGGTTAGGGTTTAGGGTTTAAGGTTCAGGGTTCAGAGTCCAGGGTTTAGGGTTTAAAGCTCGCTTCGGGTTCTAGAAGGTTTGTGCAGGAGCTTCACATAGTCGTTGCCTAACTCCTAAATCCCCGTCCCACACCCTAACCCAGACCCTAAACTTTAAACCTTATATCCTACTGACTGTAAACCCTAACCTCTAAACCTTCAACCAACAGCCCAAACTCTAAAGCCGAACAGCTCCGACTGAGCTACCACCCAATGCCAACTTCGAGGGTCGGGGGACATAGTAACTGGTTGTTATAGGGACTTAAAAGTACCATTGGGGTCCCTTTTAGGGTACTTTTATAAGTCTACTTACTACCTACTCATATACTAAGTCGCCCGACCCTCCAAGAAATGAATCCGACCAGGCACCAAAGGCCGCTTCTCCGAGTGGCAAGGCTCAGTGACTTTGGGTCTCATTGGGATTACTTTAAGGGTTTTCGCAGGGTTTTCGAGCCGGGTTTCACAGGGTTTCAGGGTTACCATAAGGGTTTTGGGTTTTGAGGGCTGATGAGGATTGTAGAGGTCTTCATGGTTTTTTCAGGGTTTGTGTGCGAGCTACTACAAGACTACAAGAAGTATTACGAGGGGTGTCAGGGGAGGGTCTAGGTTTCTTGGGGTTTAGCGGTTTCGGGGTTCAGGGCCGGGATTGGGCTATTCTATGTTCTGTGCGAGAGGGCGGCGGGGGCGGGGCTGGGAGGCAGCGAGACGTTCAGGATTGAATAGTATGAGAAACTCTTTGTAGTGTAGGCAGGGGGGTGGCGGCTTCACAAATGCAGTGCACATTCGGATCATGCTGCTGCGCCGTTGCGACGGGCTCACGCCGGCATTGTGTTCGGATTTCATGACATAGTTGTCAATGCACTTTCTCGTGTTGTGCTGTGCGGCAATGCTTGGTGGCAATGTCTGATGGTGTATGTTGCATCTCTTAATTCGGAGCAAAACGTCTTGCATGTACATACATTTGGGTAGAAGAATTAGTTACACGGCACAAGTGTGTGCGTGTGTGTCTTTTGCGAGCCTGTGTGTATAGATGCACACAGTGTGAGTGCACATCACGCGTACAGATATGTTGCATGTGTCTGTGAGTCTGTGAGTGGGTCTTGCTTTGACCCGCACGCCCACCCGCCTGCCGGCCCTAGCGCCCTCCTGCGTGCGCAAGCTCATCAACACGCGAACACACAATTCTGTATACGTATTTCAACAAACATCTACAAACATAAGCTTACGTATAGTGCATATGTGCGCGCACACACGCACACACACACACACACACACACACACACACACACACACACACACACACACACACACACACACACACACACACACACACACACACACACACACACACACACACACACACACACACACACACACACACACACACACACACACACACACACACACACACACACACACACACACACACACACACACACACACACACACACACACACACACACACACACACACACACACACACACACACACACACACACACACACACACACACACACACACACACACACACACACACACACAACACACACACACACACACACACACACACACACACACACACACACACAACACACACACACACACACACACACACACACACACACACACACACACACACACACACACACACAACACACACACACACACACACACACACACACACACACACACACACACACACACACACACACACACACCACACACACACACACACACACACACACACACACACACACACAACACACACACACACACACACACACACACACACACACACACACACACACACACACACACACACACACACACACACACACACACACACACACACACACACACACACACACACACACACACACACACACACACACACACACACACACACACACACACACACACACACACACACACACACACACACACACACACACACACACACACACACACACACACACACACACACACACACACACACACACACACACACACACACACACACACACACACACACACACACACACACACACACACACACACACACACACAAAACACACACACACACACACACACACACACACACACACACACACACACACACACACACACACACACACACACACACACACACACACACACACACACACACACACACACACACACACACACACACACACACACACACACACACCCAAACACACACACACACACACACACACACACACACACACACACACACACACACACACACACACACACACACACACACACACACACACACACACACACACACACACACACACACACACACACACACACACACACACACACGCGCGTCTGTGTGTTTCTCTAGTTGTCTCTGCCTCCCCATCTTTGCGCTTTGCGTATACCGTATGCATGTTCCTTGGTAGCAGGGTGCAGTCGCACGAAAGGTCAGTGAGGAGTAGGTGCAGCAGTACTGCTGAAAGAGGGCCAAACCGTTTCTGTGAGTTGTTGTGTCAGGATGTCAAGGCGCTGCGGGAGAGATCCCGCGCGGGCATCCTGGACCGCGTCGCGTTGTGGGCTGCGGTGATAGTTTCAGCAATGACATGTCCGGTCGTGAGGAATTACGTAGAGGCATCGGTGTCGAAGCAAGGTCATGCACAACCTGGCAGCATACTTGCCATGCTTAGTTCTTGATCTTGATCATCTTGATAAGCCTCTTCGAACTCCATGCCGAACCCTGGCCGAAACCGCCAGGACTGCAAGAAAGCTCTGACCGAGTGCGGCGGAGACATGGACAAGGCTCGGCTGATCGTATTCTACGTAATGATAGGACGCTTTTTGAAGTCATGATATACAGCATCAGTTCAACGTAGAGGACCAGGTTTTCGTTACATTGTGTCGTGGTGTGCTAGATGGCTGTGCTTTTTTACTTCCAGACGCACCAGATGAGATCTTGGATCTCCTGATGTAGTATGTCGTATGGGCTGTGGATGTCGGGGGATAGTTTGATCCATGTATGCACCATCTTTCTCCTTCCGTACCTAGACCCTCCATCTACCCTCTATTAGACCCTAAATGCCCACTATTTGGGACCATATACCCCTATTTGAGGGCAAAAGGAGGGTCTTGGTACTCAGCTTGAGGGCACAAACTTCTTGGACCAGGGATGTCTGCAGTCTGCATCAGGCTATGGAATGGCTGAAGAAGAAGGGGATGGCAAAGGCCGACAAGAAAGCTGGCAATGTTGCAGTGGAGGGTTGCGTGGCCTCGTATGTCCACTTCAACAACAAGATCGCTGTCCTGGTAGAGGTGAACAGTGAGACCGATTTCGTTGCCAGCAACGCGATCTTCAAGGAGTTCACTGCTGATGTCGCCATGCAAATTGCAGCCAACTCTGATGTGGCCTATGTGACCACGGATGACGTTCCTGCGGCAGAAATGGAGAAAGAGAAGCAGCTTGAAATGACCAAGGAGGATCTGGAAGGCAAGCCGGATGCCATCAAGGAGAAGATTGTGGGAGGCCGCTTGAAGAAGAAGTTCGAGGAGAAGGCTCTGATGAGCCAGAAATGGTTGAAGGACGAGGACATCAGCGTCCAGGAGGCTGTCAAGCAGACCATTGCAAAACTCGGCGAGAACATCGTGATCAGGCGTTTCCAGCGCTTGACTTTGGGCGAGGGCCTGGAGAAGAAGGACGACGACTTTGCCGCAGGAGTGGAGAAGGAGCTTGCCAAGTACAAGAACGCAGGCGGAGAGGCAAAGGAGGAGAAGAAGGAGGAGAAGGAAGAGAAGAAAGAAGAGAAGAAGGAGGAGAAGAAGGAGGAAGAGAAGAAGGAAGACAAGCCGAAGGTTGCAGTCTCCGCAGCGCAGGTGAAGGAGCTGCGCGGCCGGTCTGGTGCAGGAATCCTCGACGCAAAGAAGGCCTTGACGGAATGCGAAGGAGACATGGACAAGGCCATGGACTGGCTCAAGAAGACACTTGGTACCTAGACCCTCCATCTACCCTCTGCTTGGGCTCTACTTGGAGGTTCATGGGCAGTTATAAGTGGGGTTATAAGTCCCCGAATAGGAGGTACAATATATAATCATAGTTATCCTACTTATAACCTAATTATAACTACCCATGAACCTCCAAGTAACCTTACGCATGAGATCAGAAGTCGAATTGTAAATTTCTGGTAGGAGACCTCAGTCAGTAAAGCAGACACTTTTCTAGACCCTCATTACCCTAAACCTTCTTTACCCTAATTCAGCCCTAAACCCTGAAACCTAAACCCTGAAGCCTGTTTCGTTCTGAGGAAGGGCATGGCGAAGGCTGACAAGAAGGCTGGGAACCTCTCCGCGGAGGGCGTCATCGCCTCCTACGTGCACTTCAACTCCAAGCTGGGCGTGCTTGTCGAGGTCGTCAGGGGGTTCATAACATAGGGGCCGAATAATTACCAATTCTATTTTGGGGGTTCCTTATTATAGTTATAGTATAATGGGCATTGTAATTATTAAGGCCCCAATATTAGGGTTTAGGGGGTTGAGGGGGTTTTGGTGGGTAGTGGGTGTCCAAAGTAGGGCCTAAGTAGGGTTTATGTCAGGTTTTGGTGGGTTCAGGATGTAGGGTTTTGGTGGATTTAGGGTGTAGGGTGGTGGGTGCATGTGAAGCGCATTTGAACCTTATAGCAGCCGCATATTCCGGGTGTTGTTATGGGGAGACTACTGTTGAAAGAAAGCATTACTCCAGGTGAACAGTGAGACCGACTTCGTCGCCATCAACTCGATCTTCAAGGAGTTTGCGTCTGACGTTGCCATGCAAATCGCAGCCAATCCAGATGTCCTCGCCTTAGGCGTCTTGCAACGTGGAGCAAGTCATGGACAGTGGTGCTCTGTAGCAGCATGTCTAGGTGAACTTCATCTCCGTCGACGATGTGCCAGCCGACCTGATGGAAAAGGCATCGTGGTAACTAGCTAGCAACGCTGTTCACTGAAAAGTAGTGAGATTCGCACGAAGTTGGCATGAGTGAGGGTTTTGCAAAGCCGCTATCGTAAGAGCCTCCATGAGAGCATGTTTGACTATCAGTACTAAAACAATACTCACAATGATTCCAACAACAACAACAACAAGAACAACACCAAGAATAACCACAATATTGAAATCGGCAACTATCATTATTACCATTACTGTTTTGCATCATACCAGTAGTAGTAAACAAGAGCAAACAGCAACCTTTGATACTACATAGGGAAAACAGTATTATAACAGTCGTAAGATTGCTCGAAAACATATGGGAGTTTCCGAAACTAGGGGACCCTAATATCGTACCTTAAATAGTAGGATCCTTGTTACAAGGACCCCAAACTAAGGTACCCCTAATTTTTGGAAACTCCCATATTGGAATGTCATGTTGCAGTTCCACGTCGATGCCAGACAGTTGTTTCTCACAGTAGACACGACGCAGAAACCTATCACAACACAGTGCACAATGCGAGAGTCAGTTAACCTTCATCCAACGACTCCTAAACCCGAAAAAAGAGACAAGCCCTAAACTGTCATGTCCCTCATCCCTAAATCCTACACCCTCAGATATCTACACCCTGAAACATCTAAACCCTGAGCCCTCACGGCACTAATGCTATGGGTTCTGTGACCTTACCCTTCTTTCGCCTTGTCGCGGGTCCACACCAGGAGAAGGCTCTGGAGATGGAGAAAGAGGAGAGCTCTTAGTTGAGAGATTTACTGTAGGGGCGTAAATAATTACCTATACCATTTTGGGGCTTCCTTGTTGTTACTATGGTATTATGGGCCCCAAAACCCTATTCTGATTATCAAGGCCCCTAAATTAGCGCCTTAAGGGTTTAGGGTTGATAGGGCCTCCAGGGTTTTCGAGTTTAGCCTTCAGGTTTTGTGTTTCGGCTTCAAGGTTCAGGTTTTAGGGTTTTCGGTTTAGGCTTTGGGGTTTAAAGTAAAAGCCAGAAAGTTGGAGTATGATTATCCTAAACCCTTTATCGTAAATTATAAGGTATCCTACCCTGAAACCTTATTCCAACTTTCTGGAGTTCCCTTTAGTAGGATTGCAAGGGCAGACAATATGATATGGTAGAGTGCAGTATGCTCCACGGAAGGATATACAACGTGTGCACTTACGGCAAATGTTTACGGTACGGTACATCCGTTCTACAGTCCGTATAGATCTTGATACGTTGTGAAGTAGAGGAGAAGTAACCTGTGCGCATACAGATGCACGCATGTACACATGCGTGTGCATGATTGTGCATGCATGTATGTATGTATGTATGAATGTATACCAATCTAAAACGAACACATAAACCCTCCCTAGTATCTATTAATGCTTCTGCCCCGAAAGCTTACATCCGAAGTGCGGCAGGACCTGGCAGGCAAGCCGGATGCCATCAAGGAGAAGATTGTGTCCGGACGCTTGAGGCCGAAGCTGCTCCGCCAAACGCCCTAAACCCTAAACCCCAACCCTAAACCCTCAACTGGGTTCTTGTGAAGGGATGAAAATATATGGTAGTTGATCTAAAGCTCCTTGTGGTATAATTTATATGAGCGGCCAACTGCATAGCTAAATATGCCTTCGCGAAAGTTCCGCGATGGTGCGGCGAAAGTTACTTTAATTTTTGCGAAAGTTATGTGTTGACCTCCTGTTATTGCTACTACTACTACTACTACTACTACTACTACTACTACTACTACTACTACTACTACTACTACTTCTGTGTAACACAGTAGCGAAGACGAGTTTCCGGTTCACGCTGTGTGCAGTTCCTTGCAGCACTGTCGATGCTAAGTGTAAGCAGCGACAAACCCAAAAAATAGGTTCGTGTGGAGGATTTAGCGCGTAAGTTCCGCGCAAGTTCCGCGTAAGTTGCGTTAAAGTCGAAGTCGCCAGATCAAGGCCACCCCCCAATGGACATTGTTGGTGCCTTTCGCGAATGGCTGGCGAAAGGGGCACCCCGTTCAGGTGAACAAGGAGGGCGAGGCAAGAAGCGGTCCAAGGATCCATTTAAGCGCAACCTCGCAGCAAGCCTTAAAAAGAACACTCCAAGGAACGCCGAACAGAACCCTCACAGGAATCAGGTGTCTAGCTTGCAAAGGCATGTAAGTATGCCTCCGCGAAAGTTGCGCGACGGTGGCGCGAAAGTTACTTTTTATCCGTGAAGAAGGTCATTCCGGGACGAAGCAATTTAGATCAACAACCATATATATATATATATATATATATATATACATATATATATATATATATATATATATCTATATATATATCTATATATCTATATATCTATATATATATATATATATATATATATATATATTAAGTTGCTTTAATAAGGATCAATGGGTTTATGTTAAGTTACGATAATGAGGAAACCAGCCTATTGACTGGATATCCCTGTTATGGTAGCTCAAGATTGGGTCCCAGTAAACGGTGTGGGAGTTCCAAGGGATCGCCGGCCAGAGAGTACTCAGCGGAGCGAGGGTTTCAGGTTCTCTTCAACAAGTTCTTGACCGCCGTTTGCATTTGGGGTGTCCGGAATGCATTAAGGTACCTTCAAGCCTTAAAGGGGAGCCGTAATGTTGCCCCCTTATTTCAGAAACCTCACATCAAGAAGGTAGTACAATACACCAAAGCCTAAACCTCAAAGCCGCTGTGGCTGGGCAGGAAGAAGTTCGAAGAAACCGCCCTGCTGAGCCGGCGCCCCCGGTAAGGAAAGGACAGCTTCTGTCACAGTACTGGCGTGACGACTACTCTTGCTATCATAACTGTGATCTTGTTTGAATTAACTTTGCCAGCGTCATAGTCATTAAAACAAATAGGGCCGCTACTAAATTTGACATCATGAATGGCGTGCGAGAATGACAAACGGAGGTTCAAAGTACAATTTCCCATTGTTCCTACGGGCCCAGTAGCAATCCCATTACATTGGTTTTCCGCGGGACATTCCATGCAGCTAAGATAATGTAGTTGGGGGTCTTCAGTCACGGACCCTTGCAGCGACGAGCAGCAACGAAGAATGTACTTAAGGAGCAGGTGGGGGACTGCCCGGCGGCTGTTTTTGTAACTCGAGTCCGGCCGGGCTTTGGGTCAGAAAGTTGCCCAAGTAAGGCCAGAAGTGGCTCAAGGATGAGGACAAGACGGTGCAGGAGGCCTCTTCAGCCATTTGCTTTCCATGCAGCCGCTTCCATGTTCCATGTGCAGCTGCAGCCTTGTTTGGACACATGCTTCCAGGCAGTTTCTATGATGTTTTGCAATGCTTGTACACTTGCATTATGCTACAGGGTCGTGATGTCCACATGGCATGTATGAAGCATACAGTGTAGCGATTTTATAGCAGTTTCCCAATGCGCATTCTTGCAGCGCACGTTGCTAGATACGAGACCACGCCGTGCATCACCCAACTCTGTGCCAAAGATTAGCGGCCACAGTAAATTCACTTGGTGTACTCCGCAAATTTATCTTGCATTGTGCTGGAGCAGATCGCACTGTGATCGGCCAAGGCGAAGCAGACTATGCTGTGAAGTAGGGTTTCTGTCAGGGTTTTTATGAGCTCTTTTATAGATCTTGGCGAGGTATATGTGAGGTGAGACTCGTAATGGACAGCACCCCATATAGCTCATGTGTCCGAGACTGGCCGAGAAAGCCCAGGTGCACAGCATCGTTCATGCTACTCCGTGCAGAATTCAGGGTTTAGAGTTCAGGATTTTGATTTTTTTAAACACCGTCGGTATGAAAAGTTTGCAGATCTGTCAGCAGACTCCTTCGGCTGATGCTCGAACTCTTGTGGAGATGAAGTCCCATGCGAGGGTTCAGGTGGACTTGCGGGAGCACTCTAACTTGGCGCAGAAGGGTTTTACTTTCCTGATCCCAAACCCTAAGCCCTAAACCCTAAACTCCAAGCCCTAAGCCCTACACCCCAAGCCCTGCAGCTCTTCCGATGCTATTCTTCGCGCCCTTCAGGTTTTGAAAGAGCGGATTGCCAAGCTGGGTGAGAGCCCGAATCAGCGTTTGGGGTTTAGGGCTTAGGGCTTAGGGTTTAGGATTTCGGGTTTTGGGCTTACGGTTTAGGGTGATTGAAGACTTTGAACTCCGGTTGGGGTCTGCTTCTTGATGCTCTGTCCTTGTCGTGTCTACCAAATGACCATTTCCACAACCGATGCTTCCAAAATGAGCCCTCGTCTTACGGTCTGCTTGGATGGACGTGGTATCCCAGACTTCGCTAAGCGTTAGCACTGTGAGGACCGCGACATGTCAGGGTAGATATGCTTGATTTCGGTCTTGTGTGTGACATGGGCGACCCAGGAGTAACCAGCAAGACTGGCCCTAACCCCTAAAGCGCCGCACAGCAGTGAGAAAAGGAGCCCACAAGAAAGGCAGAACTCCTATACCCGAAGCCCGAAACAAATAGGAGTTTCCGAACATTGGGGGTACCTTATTTCGGGGTCCTTAGAATAAGCATCCCACTATTTGGGTTGCTCTATTAGGCTCCCCATTTTCGGAAACTCCCAGATTGAGCCCGAGGCGAGAATCTCGTCATCCGACGCTTCGCTCGCCTGCAGCTGGGAGAAGGCTGGGCTCCTTCTTTTCAGAGTTGGTTTAGGGCTTAGGGATGTTTAGGGTTTAGGGCTTCGGGTTTAGGGTTTAGGGATTCTCTGACCACATCCTAGTAGTAGAGTAGGTAACCTGGACCCTTTTATTATGGGGTATTCTAATCCTCCAGTTCCCATGGGTACGGGATGAATAGGTAGTTTCCCAAATATTATACAGAGGTTTGTTCTTTTTCTACACCGGGTTAGGGTGTTTAGGTTAGGACTGAAGGTACCATTATGGGTGTCCATGAGGGGGACGTACTCGCTTGGGGGCCCGCTAGGAGAAGGTTCCCAAGCTTTTAGGCATCCTAAACCCTCAGTCTTGGGGGGGTTGCGGCCTGTTTCTTGAGAGTTTGCCATGTCTGTGCAGGGTTTAGGATTTAGGATTTTGGGTTTAGGATTTAGGGCTTTTGGTTCAGGGTTTGAGGTTTACGGTTTGGAGGAAGGGTCGACAGATTCACCCGACAGCTTGGATGTTAGGTTAGAAGGGCCAATGGCAGGCCATCCAAAAGACAACGAGGGCCTTGGAGCTCGATGTTGATGATGTAGACTCGGTGTTACATGGGCAAACAGAGAGGTCGGAGTGACTACAATATCACTTCGTTCCTTAGGTAGGGCCGGTAGGGCTTCCTATTCCAACTATACCAGAATTTCCCCCCCCCCCCCCCCCCACGCCCTGTTGAACTTATCGAGGTCCCGGATTTTAGCGTAGCCTCTATGTTTATGTTGTGTGCTTTTGTACCAAGCATGCTGCAGAGCAGCTGCAATCATTAGAATTTCCTCGTGAGCATCTGTCTTGTGGTTCTACGGAGTCTACCACACTTGTGATCGTTTAGTACAAAGGCCTACAGGATTGCCTATACTATTTCGGGGGTTCCTTTCTTTAACTATGGTATAATGGGCCCCCAAGCCCTATTCTCATCATCAAGGTCCCTATAGTAATACAGAAGCCGACATAATTACAATTGTTATTCCTTCGGGTTCCTTATGATAAGTATAACTTATAATGGGGGCCAAAGCCCCGTTTTGAATTACCAATCCCCGATGTTTAACCAACCGGCCTGAACTCCGGAAGTCATGATCTCCCAAAGACACTCCGACCCGTTAACCTGCGACACTGAGCTCGCTGGGACGTGAGAGACATGTAGGGTTTGGGGTTTAGGGTTTAGGGGTTTAGGGTTTAAGGGTTTAGGGTTAGGGGTTTAGGGTTTAGGGTTAGGGATTTAGGCTATGGGGCCGCTCATCTCGCTGGGACATGAGAGGCCTCGACAAGAAGGATGACGACTTTGCCGCAGGTGTGGAGAAGGAGCTCGCAAAGTATCGGCCCGACTCCGAGCGAAGGTGCAGCAACAACAACGTTTACAATTTGCTGAAAGTCGCACTTGGAGTCAAAATCAAAGTGCTAGAATCCGTCACGATAGGGGGTAGTGTTGCTGCCCCTAGCGCTACTGTATTCATACCACTACCATTGCTCATACTACCACTCCCACTACAACAACAACTACTGCTGCTGCTGCTGCTGCTGCTGCTGCTACTGCTACTACTGGTTGTACTACTCGACGACGACGACAACAACAACAACTACTACTACCACTACTACTACTATTGCTGCTACTACTACTACTACTACTACTACTACTGCTACTACTGCTAACTACCACGACGACGACCACGACGACGACCGCGACGACGACTACTACTCCGCTACTGCTACCGCGACGATGACTATCACGACGAAGCCTAAGTAGCATCATCGCCGGCAACAGGATTCGAGTATTATGACCACTTATGTGCGGAACTTCGTGCATACGATGGCAGTGCTACCAGTTCCAGATTAAACGCCGGTGAGTCGCAGAACTTGGGCCATGGTGTTGGTATGTAAATCAACAGTTATGTCAAGGTCTTCCACCGCCGTTCCCCTGCTCTCCTAGCAAGATTGTGGGTAACTGAGGTAGTGATGAGGCCGTAGTGCAGACTTGCCGGACGCGTGGCCGGCATGGCAGCCCCTTGGCGTGCCAGCTTGGAAGTGGGCCCAGAGCCCTCGAGGACGCATTGCAACTGATGAAGGCGTAATGTGAACTCTAGAGCACGATCGCAAGCATTGCAAGAAGCCACAAGTAGGCGCACATCAGCAACAAGACCTGCTAGGGAGAATCCGTTGGCGTGCTGAAGCGAACATACGGAGTAGACACTCTGAAACCGGAGCGCTCGCTGCCAATTTTTCGGTGCCAGATCTGGTGGTTTTCAGCCACGCGCACTTCTGGCTGCCAAAAAGTGTGACGGCATGCTCAGGTGTCGGATGTAGCTGCTCCATACTGCACCAGACCGAGTCGTTTATACAGTTCAAAATGTTCCCGAAACATACAGGGATCTTGACAATTAGAATGGGGCGTTTGGGTCAGTATATTATACGATAGGCATACCAGAGACTATAAGGGACTATAAGGATTGCTCGTTCTTCCAACGGCTATATTAGGCTCTGAAGTCGTAGCGCAGAAGACTTCTCAGCCGCCATGGAGATCCAGGCCAGGGTCTCTGCTGTGTGATGCATCCGAAACCCTAATCCCTAAACCTCAAAGCCCACAGATCCTGTGCACTACACTTCAAAATCCCTAAACCCCAAACCCTAAACCCTAAACCCTAAACCCCTAAACCCTAAACCCCTAAACCCTAAACAAACCGGCGGAAGCCTAAAACCCCCACCCCAAGAGATCCTAAACGATAAAACCTGCGCTGCGCCAGATCCAACCCGACGGCCGCTTGACCAAGGCGCATCCCTCGCTTGCAGTTACCTGATGTAGGGGCCTTAAGAATTGGAATAGGATGCCTTTAAGGGTTCCTTTTAAAGGGGTAGGATGATGAACTTTGGGCTCTTAGATTAGATCATACCATACCCTAGGATCGAAGGCTGCAGATGGAGCGGAGGTGGTATGACACGGATGAGACGAAGTTGAGACATGTTGTTGCCGGAAACAGGAACAGCGGGCCGAGATTACCAAAGGGTCCGGTTCCAAGCTTGCCAAATTGCAGATTGGAACTTGCCCGCAACTTCTTAATTCCTGTCTGTTTGGAGACTCAGGTTTGAATTCATGGGCTTGATGGCTGAGGGTGGTCGGGCACGAAAGCGCAAAGGTGTGCACCTTGGTGTACCGAGATGCTGGCGATCTCGACAAGCTTCCACCTTTTCACCTGCCAAGGCTTACCGCTCATCGTGCCGAAAGGGGAGGTTCCGAGGCAGTTCCTGATGGTAGCCGAAATGACCCAACTCGAGAGCCGCTAGGAAATCTTTTTGAAGTAACCTTTATGAATGAACTCCGCAGTCACACGAATCGGCAGGGTAGTGCCATGTCAGGCTGCTGCGGGGATGCGGCAGAGCGCTTAGCAATCAGGCAGGTCTCCCGTAGATTGTTTTTTTCCAGCACGGCCAGGGTTTAGGGCCTGGCATCTCACGTCGAGGGCTCTTCCATGTGCAGGGGTTTCTGTAGGTTCTGGGTTTGCTTGCTTGGGAGGAGCTGCGAGAGCTGCTGCCGGAGGTCCCAGACGAGGCATGGAGACTTACAATGAGAAGTTGGAACGCTTCCTGAAACGCAAAACCCAGGGTTTAGGGTCTAGACTTAGATTCAGGGGTACTTAGAAATATGTTTTTTTTGGTTCCTGTAATCCCTGCGAAACAGCTATAACCTATAATTGTTGTAAGGGGTCTAAGTTCAGTATAGTAGACCCCAAACCCCAAAGCCTGACTCTTTCATCAGGGGATCCAGCTCGAAGGCTTCCTGAGACTCTACGAGAAGGACGGGCCCGCTCCTGGTTCTCTTTTGCAGAAGCCATGTAGGAGCTTCCGAAAGTAGGGGACCCTAATGTAGTACCCTAAATTAGTAGGATCCTTCTTGAAAGGACCCCAAAATAAGGTGCCCCTAATTTTCGGAAGCTCCCATGTCCTGCTGGATGGTTCTTGCATGCTGACGGCATCCCACGGCAACGTCAACATCCTTCCCCTCCACATCACCATCATCACCATTCTCATCCTTATTATCATCATTCTCATGCTCATCATCAAGATCAAGCTCCTCGCGGTCCTGCTCATCGCCATCACACTCGTTTAGATCCTGACCCTCCCCATAGTCATTACCATCATCATCTTCGCCATCTTCATTATTGCAGTCATGCTTCAAGTTTGCAAGGTAGCTCTGAATAGCGAAAACCGCCCCCTGCAGACCTAAACACCCCACACCCGAATTCCTAAACTCATCTTCTGCAGGCTGCTGAGTTGCCGTTGCTGAACGAGTACCAGCTATGCGAGGCTCTCCAGGCCGAAGTATCCCGTTTGGTTCCCAAGTTAAACCGAATAGTAGGAAAAAGGGTACTCAAATATTAATATTAATGTTATGTATATGTATGTATATATATATATATATATGTTTCTATTGTAAAGGGGAGAAACCTAGTTAGACTTCGGCCCTCTTCGCTTCCGATGCTTCGCAATCAAGCCTGAACCCGAATCCCCCCCCCCCCACCCGCCCCGCCAACAAAAAAAAAAAGCGAAGCTCCTTAACCCTAACGCCTCAACCCTAAACCCCTTCATTCCTAAACGCCAAACCCGAAATCCTAAACCCTAACCCCCCTAAGCCCTAAACGCAATGCCTTCCAGGCGCTGGATCTCACGAGGAGGGGGACCTTGGACCCCAAGGGCCTCAAGGACATCATGCACTCCTTTGGTGACAGGCACAGAAGGGGGTTTAGGGTTTAGGGTTTATAGTGTTTTCTATACACGACATGCACTCCTTTGGTGACAGGGGCGGTTGGTTTGAGGTTCTAGAATTCCAGAGTCTTTTACGAGTTTGTTTTATTGTTAGTCTTCTGTTGAACACCGTAATGGCTATGATTGTGACATGAGGACGTTCGTGATCAGTATTCTTATCACCATTATGAAGAAATTATTTTGGTTGTAGTTCTTGTCAGTACTGCAGCTATTCCACTCCTCCTGCATTCCTCTATGTTGGCACTGAAGAGTTTTCGCCGAAGTTGTTTCGTCGTAGCACACATCCTTATGAGTTTGCGCGATGCTAGTGATGCTGGTGTTGCTGCTGCTGCTGCTCCTCCTCCAGCTGCTACTACTATGACGACGATGACTACTACTACGACTCCTACTACTCCCACTGCTACTGCTACGGCTACTGTTACTTTTTGCTGTTGTCTCTCGAACCGAACCATTCTTGTGAGTTCTCCGCACCCACGCACCCAGAGATCTTTCATCGAGGCTGACTCCTTCGGAGGTTGACCAAATCTTGGAGGGCCTGCCTCGGGATGGGTCCGCCCCCCCAGAGTTTGCGAAAGGGTTTGGTCTGGTTTCTGTTTCTCTGTTCTAGGATGCGGAGGGTAAAGGAAGTGTTGTCGTTGTTGTTTTAAGGCACGTTTTCAGGAATTTCGGTGGGTTCCGGTAAGTGTTTCTGCATGTTGGATGTAAGGGATTTCAGAGCGAAGCTGCCCTTGAAGCCCACAACCCTCGGCTCCTAATCCCGAAATCGCTTCATCCTAAAGCTTCTAGTTCTAAACCTATGACTAGCCCTTGTGCCCAAGACCTTGTCACCCTAGACTCTTAGGCCCTTTCATCTTAAGCCCTTTGGCTTTCGGCCTGGTTCCGTAAACCCTTGCAGCCCTAAGCCCTAAGAGCGCGAACCCGGGAAAGAAGACCGACGCTCGAAAACCTCGCGCTGAGCCAAGTCCTGCACCTAAAGATCATCACTTAGACCTTTGCTACCGTGCTCATTGCGAGAATGTTCTACCGTTTCGCGTAAGAGTAAGCAACGGCAGTGGTGGAGGTCGAAAGTATGCTTGTACTATGATTTGCCATTGTAATTGTCGTTGCTACTTTTCTGCTGGCTCTTCTTTCTCTTTGTTTTTTTGCCGACACAAAACCTCGAAACCCTGAAAACTCTTAGCCCCCGACAACCCCAAAAACAAATACACTGAAAGTGACCCTTAAAGAGACCCTAAACCCCAAGGAATCATGTACGTAAAACCTTGAGCAAATTTCAAAACACCAGATACAGCCCATGAAATCCACAAGCCGCCCTAAACCCTAAAATCTTAAACCCAAAACTCTGAGATCCTAAACCACAAACCCTAAACCCTAAAATCCTAAACCTTAAAACCCCTACACCCTAAACCCTAAAACCAAAAATCCGAATCCACACACCCTAAAATCCTAAAACTTAAAGCCAGAAAAACCTAATCCCTAAATCCTAAAATCCTAAAAACCCTAAACCCTGAAACCCTAAAACCCCTAATCCCTAAACCCGAAAATCCTAAACCCTAAAAGCCTAAACTAAAATCCTAAAAACCCTAAGACCCTAAAGCCCAAGAACGCCCCTACGACGCAGCCCCAGGTTGGGCCGAGTCAGCTGCCGACTCATCGCGCGGAAGCTGATCAAGGCTTGCTGTTTTGATCAGCCTAGGGGTTCAGGGTCTAGGGGACGGTTTTATTGTCAGAATTATTAGTACTATTACTATTATTAATAATATTGTTATTATTATCATTATTATTATTATTATTACTGTTATTATTGTTATTATTATTATTATCATTATTATTATTAGTAGTAGTAATTGTATTGTTACTAGTACTGTTTTTTGATCACTTTTGTCTTTGTTATTCGTATTTTCGGGGTTCAGGGTTTTGCTGATCAAGGCTTGATTTTGTTTCTGCTTCGAATCATTCAGGTTGATAGGAGGGTTGCTATAATCGGGTTACTATAGTAGTAGGGTTGCAAAAGTAGCATTGCTACCATGCTTATCATGCGGGTTATTACAATACTTAACTATAAGGGCTATTGTTGTAGGGTTACTATAAGGTTTGCATTAAGGGTTGTTAAACTCTGGGCTCACTCCAAGTGTTACCATCAATGGTACTTTTCCTCACGGAAGAGTCCTCGTCCCGTAGGGTGTAGATATGCCGATCGAAGCCACATGGGTCGGGTTCGAAGGCCGAAGAATTCATGGAAGAGAGCATGTTCTGCTTTTTGCGATTGGGCTGGCTTTGGGGTTCTTGGATCTGTTTCCGCAGGGCCCCGACGACATTCCACACCTTTAGAACGAGCGCCTCGTGGATCTGTGCCGACTCGTCATGCAAGACCATGCAAGACCTTTGATTCAGAGGGCTCAGGCTGTCTGGAAGCTTTCACACCCGGTTTCACCATCAACGTTAGCATGCACTGTGCTTGCCGAAGGCATTAGGTGCGATACCTCGATGCAACGTTGTCGAAAAGATGCCCGAGGTCGCAGTCGAGCGCATTGGATATATACTCTCACATGGACGTGCCAGTCCTCTCAACTCTCCGGCTGTTGCTATCTGGGCTCTTGAAACCTTTCCGAAGAAGGGCATGAGCGAGACATGAGCAAAACCATGCAAGATCCCGGAAACTGTAGCCAAGAGCAAAGACAAACATACAGAGTACGAAGCCCAGACCTGGGACCCTCAGCGATTTCCGCAACACCGAATGCCTGAACCCTGAATCCAAGAATCCCACAGAAAAGGCCCTTAAAACAAAACAGAATCCAAGAATCTCAGCCCGAAGCTTCAAACCACTGAAACCAAGTTCTACTGTCGCCTTCCTCTGGCACCAAAGCACTGGCCTAGACGTGGCTGGGGTGCTGGGCTCAGAGCTCACCATTTCTGGCCTTGCTACTTCTGCAAAGCCGCCGACCCGGACCCGAACACCATCACCACCACTGCCACCACCAGCACCACCACAAGCACCACCGCAAGCACCCCCACCAGCCCCGCTAGTACTGTACGACGAGGGCGACGGCTGCAACCAGCACTGCAGCTGTAAGCAGCGCCAATGGTGTAGACGAGTCCCGAAGAGCGGTAGTAGGAGAGGCATCAGCAAGGAGACAACTAATTATTGAAAGTAAGAACAGTAGCAGCAACAGCAAGAGTAGCAGTAGCAATACCAGTTGTAGTCGTGATATGAATGCTGGCAGGGGTAAGAGTCCAACCCACAGCAACAGCCCGCGGCCGGTGTCGGTGCGCTTAGCTACAGGGTTGCCAGCCGGCAACGGTTGTTATCACAAATCCACAAGTCATGTCAGCAATGAAACTGCGAGTTCTGGTAATTATTGCACAGAAGCAGTACTTGTCGTGTGCTGATTATACTATGCTGATTGTTGACCTGGCCGCGAGCTTTAAACTTTGAATCCCGGGAAGGTTTGGGGTTCAGGGTCTGGAGAATACCCCAAACTCTGACTAAACCCTACAGCCCGAATTCTCCGAATCCTCAAACCGCTGCACAGGTGTGCCATGGCGCAAACAGCACTGGTTCCTATTGGTGATGGCGAGCTTATGGAGCAGCAGCCATTTCCCCAGAGCCGATGAGCTAGGCATGAGCTAGAGATATTTATTTGTCGGCTGGTGTTGGTGTTGAATGCCAGATTTAGGCGTCCAGCTCATTCTTTCTAACCGTTTCAGGAGTTTCCGGCCTTTCAGTAAGGCTAGTTTCTACAGTACTGTACATGCATGTAGAATGATGTAGCAACCGTGACAAGACAGATGAATGCTACTGACAACAGCAGCATTACTAAGCATGCGCAGGGTATTCCACCTAGCTGTCAATGGTAGCAGCAACTGGAACGATCACTGCAATAATGCGCACACCAATGTGTGCATTATGTGCCTATGGTAGAAGATATGCATTGCGCTTCTTTTAGGATAAGCGAACTGTTGCTCAGGATTCCTGAGCCTGTCGCAGATCAGAATTTCAACAGGACCTGCAGGGTTCGCTGTAATGTTTGATGGTCTTCATAAGTGCCTATAGGGTTTCAAAAGAGTGTAAGAGTCAGGTTTCAGGTTTTAAGTCTAGGGCGCAGAAGAAAGAACTTAGTGTAGGATTTAGATTGTAACCGTATAGAATTTGGGACATGGGGCATAGTATTTGGGATTAGGGCTGAGAGTGAGGCCCATGACCCCACACTCCAAACTCTGCATCCTTGAGTTTGGGCTTAGGGGTTCAGGGATGCAGTCACTTTTCCTTCATGCTTGTTATGATCGTGCAGAGGCCATCCTGTGTAAACGGTCAGTGCTAGTAGCATCTTGCTTTGCCTGAAGCCCCACACTCCATACAGGGGCTTGAGTAATGAGATACAATGAGACTATGCTACGGCACTAAATGGTATCCCAGAATCCTGTGCGCCTTTTTGTGATCACGAATTTCGCAGGAGAAAAATGTTCGAGTTGCAGCAAGAGCTGTCCACCCTGCAGAAGCGCTCGTTGAAGCAGCATGAGGTACGAGACAAGATTGTCAAATTCAGAAGCTCTTGTGGGATCTCATACATCCGAGGGTTTGGGAGTCTCTGAATGACAGAAACCTTGCACCAACAAGCCTGAAAAGCCTGGTCTGCTCCATGAAGCCCAAGCGCCGTGCCATCTTCAGCATCTGAAAGCCACGGAAGCCTGGAGCCCTGAGCCCTAAACCTTAAAAGCCCTACATAAACCCTAAACCCTAAAAGCTTTGCACCCTAAAGCCCTACACCCTAAAGCCCTACACCCTAGAAGCCCTAAACCCTAAAAGCCCCAAACCCTAAAAGCCCTCAACCCTAAAAGCCCCAAACCATAACAGCTCTAAAGCTTAAAAGCCCTGAAGCAGAAGCCCCTTCAAAGCCCGACAGTTTCTGCCCACGCCAGGCGGTAATCCACCTGGAAACTGGCCTCAAGACCATGATCTCCGAGGCTCTGCCTATAGTCTCCATGGTAGTTCCTTTTTTTGGGGGTTTAGCTAAATATAAAATAAGGATCCTATAAGGTAACCCCCCAAAAGGAACTACAATGGAGACTACAGGTGGGTTTTGATAAAAAGAGAGGGTTTGGGGTTTGGGGCCCATGGGGGATGTCAAGTTCTTCCTGTCTTTTTGTTAGGCTTTCAGGTTTTTGAGGTATCCTGCAAACCTAAACTAGTGGAGAGACAACGAGAGAGCGAGACAGAGAGAGAGAGAGAGAGAGAGAGAGAGAGAGAGAGAGAGAGAGAGAGAGAGAGAGAGAGAGAGAGAGAGAGAGAGAGGGAGAGAGCTCCCTGAACCCTGAAACCCGCCACCCCTAAACCAGAAAAAGAGCATAATAACCCTAAGCCCCAAACTCTAACATCTAACGCTCAAGCCCTAAACCCCAAAGCCTAAACCCTAAACTCCAAACCGACAGACTCGAACTGCCGGGAGGTCGACCTCCGCCGCGCTTTAGGGCTCGCCTTCCAGGAGTTTGAGAACCGTATCGAGGTGGAGGGGTCGAGAGTTGAGGGTTTCGGGTTCAGGGTTTAGGGTTCAGGGTTGAGGGTTTAGGATTGAGGGTTTAGGGTTTAGGGTTGTTTGGGGTCTTGGGTAGGTGGTGGGTTCCAGGGTTGAGGCTTATTTGTTCGAGGCTCAGGGTTGCTATTGCGTTCTGTAGCGTTTCTGTCGGTTGTATGGATTGTCTTTGTTGATTCGGACAGGATGCCTTCCAAGACTCCAACAGGAAGTGCCTGGGCATGCCACTTGGCTCGCAGAAAGCGTATACTTTTCGGATATATCGGATGGGTACAGATTCTCCGGGCCTGGGGGTGTCATAGCTGTGTAGAGCTCAGGTCTATAAGCGTTTTGGGCTCCGGCCTCGACACCTGCAGTATCCAATTATCTAAACGCAATATTCCACGCAATCCCTAGATCTTGAAGTGACCGCTGATTCCTGCTGCGCCAAACCTCAACCCAGACCCAAAGGCCTACTACACCGGCCTAAACAACTACCTACACAATTTTAGGGGTTCTTTAATATTGATAGTATAATGGGCCCCAAAACCCCATTCTAATGATTAAGGCCTCTATATCATAGTACCCTTATAGCAGCCCTTATAGCAACCCTTATAGACCCCTTTGAAGGAACCCCATTCTACTTATTAAGGCCCCTGTATTATGAGCACACGACAAGCCCCAGCATGCAAACTGAAGCATCGGCCCGAGCTTCAGCACATAAGGGACCCTCGCTGACCTTAAGATAGATCCCCGAGGTCCTTTTTTACTTTCTGAAACCGCCAGAACGACACCGAAAATTCATACAGAACCTTCATAGATGCTGCATGAAGCCTGCATAAAACCACCTTCGACGCCCTCATAAGCCCCTAGAGCCCGAGATCCTCATCCTCAACTGGCTCGCCTGAAGTAGGTTTCTGTAGGTCAGACGCAAAGAGTCTGAAAAAAACCCTAAACCCTAAACCCCCTAAACCCCCTAAACCCCTAAACCCTAAACCCTAAACCCTCAACCTCATCCGAGGTTTTCAAAGCGAGAGGACGTAGTCGAGCTGCAGGCTGAACTTTGAGATGGGGTTGAGAGTTTAAGCTGTCTGACTTCGTTTGTAAAAATTCTAAGATTTATTAACCATGGTCTAGGGGTTAAGAGCGGTTACGACGCAGAAACGAGGGTTGAGGGTTTAAGTTTAAGACTTCTTAGGAACCGTCTGGGGTTTAAGATTTCGAGATTCAGGTTCAGGGTTTTTTGATTCTAGAGACTGGTCCGGGTTCGGGCTTCGGGTGCAGGGGTATAGGCATGGGATATCTAAACGCCAACGAAGGGACAAATACATATATAAACCTTTGTATACGATTACAATTAAACAGATAACATACATACATACATACATACATACATACATACATACATACATTTTTTGTATATATATATATATATATATATATGTATAGACACGCCATACCGTGCCGTGACATGCCATACCATACCATAGCAAAAGACATACATACATACTTACATACATACATACATATATACTCATCGGTATACCTGCATACCTATACATGGTATGTGTGTGCGTATGTACGTAACGTATGTACTTATGTTTAGGTAGGTATGTATGCGTGCATGTATGTATGTACGTCCGTATGTATGCCAGCATTAGAAGAAGCACGTACTTCTAGTTTCACAATATGGCTGTCTTGGTCTAAAGCAAGAGCATCCCAAAGCCCCCAAGCCACGTAGCTTTTGAGACATTGAGCACCCAATTGATGTTCACATGCTTAGGGCTTAGGATGTGGGATTTAGGGTTTCTGCAGTCTAAA